AGTGATGGGCAAGCTACTTGTAAAATGTAAAACATCCAAATCGACGCTAGAGAAACAGGTGGAAAAAGTAGCTCTCTACATCAAAGCTATTTTTATTTATTTTGCAATCATTTATTTATTGTGATTTTATTTGTGTTGTTGTAATTGATTGTAGTCGTAGTAATTGTAGAAGTATATTTAAGCAGTTTGGGTCAAAGTCCGTGCTGTTTTTGAATGTTTAGTTTGAGCGTTTGACAAACATTCATTTATGCTGAATGTTTTTGTGAATGTCAAAGCAATGTTTTTTGTATAAATGATAATGCACAAACCATCTCTCCATAACAAATGGATAGAGGCGATGTGGCTTCCTTTAAAGTGTAGTCAATGAACACAAAAAGCGGAATGCACTGGGTATGATTTGAATAGGGGTTAGTGATGTTGGCTTATTCAGGAATCACCTGGATGTGCTCCCCAGTGGGTGATCTCTTGCTTGCCTGTCAGCACGTTCACCAGTGGCAGGGAGGTCATGGGCATCAAGAATGTCTCAGTGATGTCTCTTTGATACGGAGGGAAATAGTCCGCTACAAATACCAGAATCAGAATTATTGGCCAGGTATGCTTACACACACAAGGAATTTAACTTCGGTAATACACGTCTGTGTATCGGATGAAGGCTTTGACTGACATGTTTGATTACAAACCCTGACACTCCACTGTCCTTCAATTCATTGTGGCAAAATGTAGCTTGATTCTAGGCCACCACACTACTTGATCAATTAAACAGCTAAGCTTTTGAAAACTCAGAAAACAGCGACACTACCACTGCTCCTGAGATGTAGTGAAACTACTAAGGTTGCTATTTGTGGTACCGTTCCTACCCAACACTGAGATACAAACACAGAGAGTGTCATATGTCTGGTGAATGAAGTTTGATTAAGTTCCTTTCTCCACTTTGTCCTCCTGCAGTTTAAGAACAACAAAACTTTTCAACTAGTTAGATATCAGAGTTTGTTGCAATCCACTTCACCAATAATCTGTCTTTCTTTGTGAAGGTAAAGGCAGCGTTAACCAGTTTCAGGTTCAACTGATGTTGAAGGAAAGTCAGTGATTAAACCAAAGTTTCAAACTGGAGAAACACCTCCTTTAGCAATATCTGTTTCTCCACTAGAATTCACAATTTATATAACATTTGTTCATTTGTTAATTATGGGCTTAAAAAAAGCTAAACTCAGAAATCAAAGGTGCACTATGTGGATTTTAGTGCAATTTTAAAGTTGGAGAAGTGAAACAATTCTATGCTATAGTTTTTGAACTTAATACACAAACTTTATTTTTCAAAGGAAAAAAATGGGTCCCTGGAACACTGTTTGGAGCTACGCTTTCACTGTTGCGGGCCCACCAGAGACCAAATTTTCCTCTGAGGACAGTTTATGAACATATACCACAGAAACTGTACATTTCTCCAACTTTCACATTTCTCTACTCCATAGTGCACCTTTAAGTAACAGCGGAGCATCTGTTAGCATTAATACTGGCTGGCCAAAATCTCTGTGGGGCATTTATTATCATGTTTACTTACTTACTGGCCAAGAAAGCTGATTCTAACTCTAAATTTAATCTGAATCTGTGTGATATTGCATTCTAGTTTGTTTCTCTTTATAGGCCTTTAGACCAGCTCAAAGAAATCCAAACTTCTCAATCGTATTATCTTTAAATATCATTTCATACCTCATTTTAATGTTAAGGAGGTTTTTCAATCTTTAAACTCTTTACACCCATATTTACATTTTTTAGGCTCTGACCGTTGATGTTAGATGAGGGTTATTAACCTGTGTGTGTGTTTCTGTGTGTGTCAGCTGAAGATGAAGGAGCGACCCCTGTGAAGCGACGGAGGGTGAGCAGTGATGACGACAGAGCTGGTGATGCAGCTGCGCCACTTTGCATGGCCTCCACCTCCTCGGCTCTCCCACCCTGTAGTGACCCCAAGCCTGACCACCAGGAGGCACTGACGCCCGCCAGCACCTCTGACACAGAGACACGAGACTCGTCCTCTCTGATCGACCCAGGCACTGAGCAGGACCCACCCACTCCTGACCCAGCCCCCACCTCCTCTGGGAACCTGGAGTCCTCCCCTAAAGAGGAAAAGATGGAGGCCTCTTCTTCCTCTTCCTCCTCCTCCTCCTCCCTGCTGCAGGAGGCAGGGGAGGGGTTTGCACAGGGGGAGGAGCCTGACCTGCAGCGACATGCTGCATCAGGTGAGGAGGAGGAGGTGGAGCAGCAGGAAGGGAGGAGGGGGGAGGTAATGTCTGCTGCATCAGACGAGGTGAAGGAAGACAAAGAGGCAGGATCTAAGAATGGCAGCTCTGCCCCACCCCTTTCAGAGGACACTGTTTTCCCATCAGCCCTTGGTCTGGGGGGGGAGGAGCCAGAGAGCTGCAGTAACCATGCCCCCTCCTCACAGGTGTTTCCCAGCACCAGCCCCCCACCTGACATGCTGGACATGCTGTACAGGACAGTGGAAGCCACCATCACCATAGTTACCAACATGTCTGTAAAAGGCCCGCCATCTTCATGACATCATCAACTCAAAGCCGCCATGAGATCCTTTTAAAACTTTTATTTTCCTTCTTGTTTGTTTTCTCCTTTTCAGAAATCTGAATTCTGCACCAAGGAAAAAATAATTTCCTGTTTTCCAGTTTCTTCTTCTTCTGCTGTTTTTCGTGCTGCTGTTCGTTGCCTTCTGCTGATGTTAAGTCGGTCGGTTTTCCCAGCTTCAGTGGCTCCCGCTGTGTCGTTTTGGCTCTATAAACTCTGACTCCGTGCACAGCCGACCCCCCTCATTTGACTGATAAAGATGAAAATCAGAAAAAAGTCGTACAAAGCTATAGCACATTTTTTTCAAAGGGCAAAAAATAGTTTTTGTTTTGTTTTCGTGTGTTTTATACTGATTTGAATTTGTTTTGAAAATTGATTTTATTTGCTGTAACGGGGAAAGGTTTACAGAACTTTTGTCTCCTCTGTATGTAATTTAATTTTATTGCATTTTTACTGTGTATAAAAATCGTTGTCCTCTGTGCCAGTTTTGTACTTTATGAACAAGGCAAAAGAAAGTTGCCTTGACTTTTTCTGTGGTTTAATTATCCAGAAACTAAGTTTACCTGTAAATTAAGAGAACCTCGAGAAACTTGATTCTGTAAAGAATCCTCTCTAGTCATTGCCTGAAGGTGTATATGAAAACTATATAAATATATATATAAATATCTTTATATATATATGAATATATATAAAAGCGGTGCTTTATTTGACTGTGGTTGAAATAAAGCCGCCATGTTGGACCAGCTGGAGCTTTATTTTCTTTAGTTAAGTACATTCCATAATCTATTGTTTATTTTTGCTGCTTTCGCTGTGTTCTGATTTTCTCCTGATTTTATTTTAATAGAGAATAAATTAATAAAACCGTTTTAATATGAAGAATTATCAACTAAAAACCACATGGACCTGTGAGGGTTTTTTTTCTTTCCCAATTGCAGAAAAACAGAAGATTGAAATATTTCCAGTCTGTAAAGTGACGTGTATGTCAAGAGCAAGATTGTACGGGAAGCTGGATGGATCAAACAACAGGTAAGTGAATTGTGAGGTTTTTTTTCATGACTTATTTTATATTGTTGGTCAAATTCATAATCTTAAAGATTTAGATGTAGTTATCTGCTAACAGTTTTAAGATGAATAATTGAACTCATCAGTGACTGAGGTGACTAGCCCACCAAGCCTGAAGCATTTGTAGTTCCCTTTCATTGTTTTCATTGTTCAGACTGGGTGTCTAATTGTTGAAAAAACCATGCAGGAGTAGTTTGTCCTGCAGAGAGAGCAGGCGGAAGATAGTCACAGTTTTCTCTGCTCTTTGCCGACTTTCTTTTACTCCTACTAAACAAAACACATTAGACTGACGACTATAAGGGACCACTGCAACAAGTGCGAATGCAAAGAAAAACGTTTTAACAGTCACAAGTGTTACATTTATTGAGTCAGTAAAGAAATTAATTAAGGTCACTCAACATAAGCAGCAACTCAAAGTGAAACCCTAAAACTACAACACATTTCCATGCAATAATTTAAAACTATTTTTGACACTATATAATTCTTACTTACTTTCATCTGCCATTTTTGAGATCTCAGGTTGGATCTAATTTGAGTTTCCACTGAACCATTTTTTTTCTAGAAATATCACAACTAAACTTTTTCTTTTACCTAACAATCCAGTATTTAAAACAGAATGCTAGGTGGGGTTGTTTCTGTGTAAATGTTCATGATCAAAATTGTGAGACCGACTGCTCTAATTTAGTATTTCTTCGGCCGTGGTCATACAACAGAACACAAATGGCTGACTGAGTTTTCATGTTAACAGTGTTGCTTATATTCTGTTAGAATATCCTAAAGACTACAAATCGCTCTCCATTTGGAAACACTTCTAAAAGGCTAGAAAGAAGATATTACCTTCACCTGTAAATGGCAGACATTTCAGTCTTAGCAAACATTGTTTCCTTTTCAGCTCACAACATACACTTTGCCCCAATCCAAATATAGCTCTGTTGCTATGAAGTGTTTACACATCATGACAGCTACACAGACCTAAAGAAGAGTTACACTAACAATAATAATAATAATTTATTCTTTAGGGGAAATTCAGTTTTACACTCTGTCTAATGAACATTTTACATAAAACATAGGCTGAAATACACACACATGCACAAACAAGATCCTATGGACAGAGTGAGGGGGCTGCCCCCAGCGAGCTCTCCAGAGCAGTTTTGGGTTTCGGTACCTTGCTCAAGGGCACCTCTGCAGTGCCCAGGAAGTGGACTGGCACCTCTCCAGCTACCAGACCAATTGCCGGACTTGATCCGTGCCGGGACTTGAATGAAGTCATGACAATTCAAATTAACCCATAGTAATGCCTCTAATTTAGGCTTGTTTTAAAAAAAAATGAAACAAGTCCAAAGATGAAGAAAGCAAAATCAAAACATTTTTGTATGGTTTATTTTTCCACAAACTCATTAAAGAGGATTTAGACAGTTTTATTATGGCTATAAGCTCTATTCAAATTATTTACATATTTGTTAATAAAGTGCATTTAAAGACGGAGAAAGAAATTGAGCCGCTCATGAAAATGAAACCGAGGATAGTGAACTTTAAACTTTAGATTTCACCTGAAATAAAAATTTGTTCGACCAGATCAGGTTAGATCCTAGACTCTGAAAAGCAACACAAAGCTTTCTTCAAAGAATAGAATTTTCTTCAGCATCACATCAAGGCAATAAATAAATCTTTATCTGACTGTATGGTCAGACAAAAAGGATGGATTAGAGGTCACATGCTAAGGTTAAATTTACAGATTGACTGGAGATTCTCAGTACTGTTTATTGATTGTATGTAAAGATAGACAACATGACCCGACCTCCTCCCTTCTAAAATGAAGTCAAAATTACCCGAAACGAGCACTGACAGATTTCACATTTGGAACCAGAGTCTACGTTACACACATTGAATTACTGATAAAATGTCAAAGTTCTCTCCATGGACCAGGAAGGAGGGGACTCTACAAGGTACTGATACTTGCTTTCATACGTTAACACAGCTTGTTAGCTTGGTTTCCAAAGTGGAGATAGTGGTGCATTAATAATATCCATATCAGTGTCAACAGCGAAGAAAAACTTAATTCAGCCTCACTGTGTATCGTTTATTTACAAGCTTGAGTGTTGTGATTTGAGTCAGTGGCTTGTTAATACAAAGCTCCCCCCCCCCATACAAAAGCACTAGATGTTATACTGTTTGCAAGGGGTAACAAAAACTCAGCAAAAACTCAGCAAAGAATAAATTATTAGTATTATTAATTAGTGAGCGTTACACCGTGCACGATGCTACGTAATATCCAATGCTCACATGTTGTTAGGACAGTGTTATGTCCCTTATTTAATCATCAAATAACTGATTTAACTCAAACATAGAACAGCATAAGAACTGTCAGAAGTCATTTGAGAAATCAATTATTTGATGTGTATTTTAATTATATAGTTTGACTCATCAGTCAACATGAAGAGGCTGAACTCAGACCTATACTGCAGCCAGTCAGTAGAGGGAGCTCCAAATGTTTTGGCTTCACTTTCGGGGAGGTGTGATGTTGTCCATCTTTTTATACAGTCTATGGTACTACTCATAAAAAATTAACATACTTTTACTGAGCAGTTAATTACAAGCATTTTGTTCGACAGGATGTAATTACAAAGTTGTTGATTTAGTGACACTGCAGAATGCACTCATGGACTTAAAGCTGCAGATCAGAGAGAAGAGCCTTGGTCGTTATTGCCACTGTCTTTGTTGTCTGTCAGTCGATCCTGTTTGGTATTCACACTGAAGCTTACGGTTTGTCTGTCTCTCTCAGCTGTCTGCTCGTCCTCTCCCTGTAACACAGATCACTGATGAACTGCTTGTTTTGAAAACATTCTACCTTGACGTATTTCTGTGTGTATTTGTTTTACCTGTTCAGATTCGTCAGGGTTCATCTGAGACCAGTACCTGGAATGAAAGTGGATTTTATTTTTTTTCAAATCTGGACAGGCAATATCACACAACATTTTGATATTTTTACACTTCCGTTTCCAGTGTTTTTAAGTCTCAATGCACAAAAAGAGTTTTGAGCCACATGGCCTCTGTGGATCCACTCAGTTCTGATTAAATTGGTCAGTCCTCCCTCTTCATTTCCAGGAGATTACGTCCCTTAAACTTGTCAATTCCACATACATACCAGTGCATGCTTTCACTTCACCCGTTTACCTTTTACACATATGTTTCTTTCATATTCCCATCACACATTCAGACTATTTACATTAGAGCTAGAGGGGCTTACAGTTACATTGTTCTCTTTTGAAGGGGAACAGGGAGCATGAATAGTTAGTTATATAAAGCCTGCTCGCATCTGGGTCATTAATGCAATAATCTCAAAGAGAGAGTCAATTTCTCTGTTGTACATATTTCCAAAATGATTCCATACTAGTCTCCTAACTAAAGTGCTCCTGGATTTAGTCACTTTCTAGGGTACAGAACGTGGCCAAAGTAGACGGCCTGAAAGTTCAGGGGTGTTTGAGTCTTGACTAGCTTGTTTAAAGTTTTATGAATACCATTCCAATCAATACTTAGTTTGGGACAGTCCCAGAATACATTAAATGATTTACCTCAGTTGAGCCACACTGTCTCCAACACACCCTACGTCTGTATTTTTCTTGATATGGTGTCTTAAATGATCTGATAACAATTTTCAATAAGTGTTCTCTCCAATCCTGGAGTTAGTTGAAGACCATTAAAAACTGCAAATAACCTCCAAAGCCTCCACTGAGGGAGGGTGCCATTCCTGCTTGTTTTTCTGATTGTTTTTAATACACAAGGTGTTGTCTGTTTTGCATTAACAATAGCATGATAAAATGTAGAAATAGACTTTGGATTTTTGGTTTCTTTCCTCACCAGATAAAACAAGGAATCAATTTATCCAATTCCTCGAACTGATTGTCATTGACCTCAATTGGTAAAGTGCAGAAGATGATTGATAACCGAGGGAGGATTTTCATTTTGATAACATTTATCTTTATATTCATCCAAAGGAAGGGGAGAGAATGCCATCTATGCATATCTGATTAAATCTCTGCAGATAGAGAGAGCTGTGACGACATCTTAACATGTTCCTGAGGACTTACTTGTAACCTTCACCATGTCGGTCGATCTCAAAACTCTCTTTGTCAGAATCATTTTCATGGTTGTGCGTCATCTTGAACCTGAAAGTGAAAAATAATTGGTCAGAAATCTTGTGTTTGGATGATGGTCCATCTTCTAATTTGATTTCAACAACTCCATGGAAATAATATTTAGTTTATACATGTTTACTCATAAATCTGTTTGAATGTTTTTTTGTATCTCTCCATTTTCAACACCTCATTTATAATATGTGTTTATATTTCTGAGGTTTACTTTCACATTACTTAAATTGTTTCTTTAAGAGAGTTGGATAAGTTATTCACCTTTATTAAAGAGATTTAAAGAAAAAGTCACAGCTAATCTCAAAACCAGCTCTTTGTTCACTGAACCTGTTTGCTGTTTAAACTGTAGACACTTCTCTCACTTCCCCCTGTGAGATACATCATTGAATTTTACAACATTAAGTTCAGCTATCTTCCAAAAATCTAAATGTTCCCCTCATAGACCATATAAACAGGGACATACTGTTTATCTTCAGAGTCTTAATATGAGCTGGACTATCTAAATAAATACATCCAGACAAACATCCTCTGTTTGATGCTCAAAGTGAAGAAAAAAAAATCTCAGATAAAGAACATACAGTAAAAAACACAAGTGCTTCATCCAAACACAGCCAGTGCTTTTCTGCAAGAAAAAAAATCAAATGCCATGTGGACTGAGGGCCTTGGACGTAAATCAGCATAAGAACTAACTGTTATGTCAGAAACCAATTTGAGACGTTTTTTATATGTGTATTTTAATTTTATAGTTTGATCCATCAGTTAACATGGAGGATGTGGAGCTTTGACTTCTACTGCAGCCAGCCTCATATGAAGACCCTGAACAGGTGCTAATAATAATAATAATACATTTTATTTATAACGCACTTTACATTTAAACAAAAATCTCAAAGTGCTACAATTTCAATAAAACCATAAAAACAGTAGCAATAGTCAAAGGTAAAATCAGAGTTAAGAACCTAAGCATAAAACAAGATCTAAAAGCAGTGGTTTAAGGGGAAAGGTCTCTTTTAAAGAGGAGAGTTTTCAAGTCCACTGTCTGTGGGGCTCTCAGGTAGTCATGTAGATCACTCCATAGCCTTGGGGCAGCAGAGGAGAAGGCTCTGTCCCCCATGGAGCAGAACTTAGTCCTGGGGGGTTTGGAGGCAATTTGTGGTGGCAGATCGGAGGTGTCTTGAGCGGGTTAGTGGGGTGAGCAGTTCTTTGAGGTATGGGGGGGGGCATTTCCGTGCATGCATTGATGGGTGTAGGTGAGTAGTGTAAATTATTTATGTTATTATTAGAATGTTTTAAAAAATGAATAGATTCAGTTTTGTAGATTCGACTTAAAAAGTGTAAGTTGAGAAATTCTGCTCCCAGAAACATACACGTAGGGACAATCATTGGGGAACAAACGAGCGGTCACAGTCGCATTGAGATTTTTCCATTAAAAAGGAAACAAAACATATTGTACTTAAGGTGAGGGGAAGGAAGCAGGTCTTCACACAGTGATGGAAGAACTTTCAGAATTCAGATTTGAAGACAGAATGAACCCTGAACCCTCATTATCTATTTCTTAGTCACTCAAAGAAACCCAAACTAGGCTATCACTCCATAAACGTGTTCAACTTGAGCTGAATGACACTGGACTTGTTTTGTTTTGACTTTAAAAAAGTGATAAAACATTATATATTGTTGATAAGACTTCCATTAGTTATGATAGAATAATGTACAGAGTCGGTCAGTGTTCTCACCTGACGATAAAGACAACAGCAATAATCAATCCCAGCATGCTCAGCGCCAACAGGACGCCCAGAGAGATGACTGCAGCCTGGTCGGAGGAGGGGCTTAGAGGCGTCACCTCAACATCAAAATGAAGCTCCTCCCCAAACACTTTGACAAGCTCCGCCCTCACAGCAGCAGATTGCTTCTTTAGTTTCCTGATGGATCACACGTAGAAGAGCAGAGGTAGTTTCAGAATCAGAATGTATTTAGTTGTTGAAAGCAGATGTTATTGTGTCAACATTTTGCACGAGAGATGGAAAAAACATTTGTTTCCATGATTTCAACATTCATAAATCAGACTCTTACTCTGTGACTTTTTCAGAGGAAACGAGCCCCTCCTCGTCCACACTGATGAAGCTGACTAAAGTTTTGATCTCCACTCTCACAGCTCTGGACTCAGACGATCCTCTGTTGTCAGAGGAAACCTCAATGATGTTCACTGTCCAGCCCAGAACCGCTCCCAAAGACCTGAGAGGAAGAAATACATTACACAAAACTGAAAGAGTAAACAGTGAAATAAATGATATTCTTAGGTCCTCTCACTTCTCCAGCTCTGGGATTTTCTTCTCCACAGTGTTTGCAGGCAGGTTCAGGGAGATTATGACCAAATCATTGCTGGTTGCACTTCCCTGCACCTCCACCTGGGGGCAGAAGAGTGCAGTTTTCATATGCAAGAAGGGTTACATTTTTTAATTCAACAAAAGAAAAAACACATCTTTATTAACTTCCATACAGTCGTTTAATACCATAGTAGGACACATGTTTAAAGGAAGCAGTGATGATGAATTGAACAAGTCTTTAATTCCCAATGTATTACTCCTTTATCCTCTGAATAAAAGCCGAATGTTTCCCCATAGCAAACACCTGAATTAAGAAGAAAGGCAGTCACATCTGTTTGCCAACCACTATTAAACAACACAACAGAGGAAGAAGCAGACACAATAAAACACAAGATGAAGAAGAGTTGGGTAATGAAGACATCACAGATGCTCACAGTGACAGCACACTGTGCACTTCATCATTTCAGAGTGATCATTATGCATCTTTAAGAAGTGCATTATAACCTCCCAGACCAACAAGTTTATCATAATGATACTGTGCTCCTAAAGGAAAGTCTTTTTTTTTTAACTCAGGACATGTTTATTTCTGTCTTGCTTTTTGAGTTTTCATCATTTAGTTTGGTTTAATATTTAATACACAGTCTGTAGCAACTTTCACAGGTTTTAACCACGATAGAGGAACAAACTGTAAGTCACAATACTGTTGATTCAAGATAAATTGAAGATACCTTATATTATGCATTTTGGGCCTTTTTGCAGCTTTTTCCTGTTACCGAACGGTGAGCCTAAAACTGAGGTCCAAACTGAACTGTACTGTTTACCTCTATGCAGCCGTTCCTGAAAACCTACAGAAGGAATAATGTAGCAACATCACAGAAACATACTAGACCTTTATCCCCATCTTAACAATCTAACTCCCACCTTTAAGAAGCTTGCTAGGTATTTTGTCGGATTTCTCAAGTTCTTATAATTGCTTTCTCTCACCCTGGATTTTCCTCTTTTGAGCGCCATGACAGAAATAGATCTTGACTGAAATGTGTCTTTAGCTAACTTTTTGTCATATTTAAAACATTAAGTCTTTTTGCACATTGTTATTAATTTGTTTGTTTGTTTTTATTTCATGATTACTGTATCTAATTCATCTTTTTAATAATGAACTTTTTTTTGTGGGAATCTTTAGAGACAAAAGTCAGGGAACCCCTTCAATTTTTGTATTGGTGTGTTTCCACCATTTTTAACCCTTCCCTACTCACCTCCACCTTGGTCGTAGCATGGAGTTCTCTGGGATCTGTGGCCTTCACCTGCAGCTCGACGGTCTGTCCGGCCAGAGCCACTGCTGACACAACGAAGACTACTCCTGAAGACGGATCCACGTCAAAGTAAGGACTATTGGCTGACAGACTGTAGAGCAGCCGACCAGTCTCACCAACATCAGGGTCTGAGGCCTGAGGGTTATAGAAAAGATCTGCAAACCTCAGTTGAAATACACCTGAAAGGTTCAGTTGTTCATTGTTAGTTTGGCTTAACTTGGCTGAAAAGTCTAAAGATTTACGCTCTTGTGCTTCTTTATTTTCTACTCACAAACCTCCAGTTGTCCATTTAAAATACTGACAGAGACAAGAACTGTTTATAGCATCAGCTCACATCCATTACACTCTTCATAGTTTTGAATATGTATTGTTTTCTAGTGTAGACACAGGACTTCTAGAGGTTACTTGTCTATTTTAGGGTCCGAGCACCAAAACGGCACAAAGGCCCTAATGTAACTCATGAAGGTTGCACACACATCAGGCCTCGTGAAAATGTACATTTGATATGAGTCTTGAGCATGGGGGTGGCAAATTGGCTTATAAAGGCTAAGGTATGAGTGGTTGTGGTTAGCAGACAAAATGTAGGCCTATAGTACAGATTTTACTAAACAATCTGTTCTTGACTCATCATTATTTTTTTCAATACACAACTTTGCTAGATAAATGTGTGTGAGGAATTTTTGAACTAGCCTACATAATACTTTCTTGTTAACCCAAACCAGGAAGGATACTTCACCTACATTGGTGACAAAATTAAATTCAGGTTCTCAGATAGAATAATAATGTATAAGATGGAAAGTTGTGGAAGTATTCCAGTGAGTAAGATAACAAAGCATGTGATAGAAGAGCTGTGTCTCCTGGGGCTACAGATGATGTGACATGTTTTACTGCTGATCAGTGACATATTAACCACACAGCTCACAGAGTAAACAGCCTGCTCTGCAGTTTGGATAACAGATGATTTAACCGCAGCCTCTATCTTTTTATGACACACTGCAGTTTTTATTGCAGTCAATGTGTTTTCGAAACAAGCAGGGTGTTTTTGACGAATGGAAACTGACAGAATCTGTGGCTCAGTTGATAGAGTCGTCGTCTCTCAACCGGAAGGTCGAGGATTTGATCCCCTGTTGAGCAACATATCTGATGTGTCCTTGGGCAAGACACTTAACCCTGCATTGCTCCTGTTGCTTCAGTGGTGGTGTATGAATGGATTAGTGTTGTACTTACTCTCAGATGTACGTCGCTTTGGATAAAAGCGTCTGCTAAGTGAATTGTAGAATCTGGGTGTGTTTACCTTGACAGTGATAACAGGAGTTTTATACGGAGCGATGCTGAATACTGAAGCTTTATAATCCTCAGAAGGAAATTCTGGAGACTCGTTCACATCCTCCACCTGAACTCTGACCTAAAGAGAGAGAAAATATGTCAGGATTATAGGGGGAAAAAAATCAATGTTCAATGTCTAGGAGGTTTTTGAAAGGATCCTGTGTTTTTCTTTGTAATAAAATTGCAGACAATTTAGAATTCCTGGATTCCTTGGTTCAAAACAAATACAAAGGAAACCTATAATGATGCTGCAGAGTCAGCTCAATAGCATATCCACAGTTTCACACAATTTTCCTTGAATTGGATGGTGCAAAAAAAGATAAATCTTTAAAAAAAGAAAAAGTTTTCTTTGGCCTTGAATAAACACCAAGAAGAACTTTAGAGGAGAGAGGTCTTGAAAGAGGAGGACAGAGAGGGAAGCATTCATAAACTTAATGGATAAATCAAAGTAAGCAGAATCATTTATTATCATTTAAAAGCGAAAAGAGAAGCGGTGTTTACTGTTGCGAGTAGGAAGATTTGTTTAGCCATATTTAGAATGAGATCCAAATCATGTCAATTTTCCCCAATGTTTAGAAATTTAACAAATATCTGTTTCACATGTCTTTCTTTGGCCCTTACCTCTTTCATAGAGAGCAAGTTCATCATGTGACCTTCTCTCATGTTTCCCTTATCAATGTCACTTTATATATTTAGCTAAAATCTCAATACTGCTACTGATTCAAAGTCTGTAAACATCTTCTGTCCATTAAATGATGTATTTACAGATTGTCTTTTCATAATTAATACCACCTAAAGATTGAAGCTGTAAATATAAGCTAAAAAAACCCTTTTCATTAAGGAAACAAATCGTACCAATGCGATGGCTGATGTAGGGGGGGTCCGTGTGTCCACTGCCTCCACATCCAGGATATACCACTCCTGCTTCTCTCTGTCCAGAGGAGTTTTAGTCATGATGGCTCCACTGGCGTTGATGGAGAACAGGTCAGTGTGTGTTTTCACAGTGTAGGAAACAGTGTAAAGATCATTCCCTGAGGAGGCCCAGACTATCCCCACGGCTGACCCAACTGGCTGGTTCTCATGTAGGCTGAAGTTGTAGGAGGAGCTTCTGAAGGCCACGCCCTCCACCAGAGAGACAACCCTCAGATTCACAACGACCAGGACTGCAAGACACAAAGAGATTCACACACTGATTTTACAGAATAAGAGGCAAACAACACAGAAAGATCTGAAAATCCTCTGACTGAACTGTCTGTTGAAACTGTTGTCACCCCCCCCCCACACACACACACACATCCACCCAAAGAGTTACACATTCAGTACATCAAAAATACATCTACACGTGCAAACACACTCATAGAAGACCAAAAAAGCAATGACATAAATGTAGACAACTAATAATGAAAATAGAGAACATAGGAAAAAAACTAGAACAGGTTTTCAGTGTTGAAGCGTGTAAAGGCAAAGGAAGCTGTGACTTCATATCCAATCTTGCAATGTAGGTCTAGGTAGCATAAAGATTGGTGTGGTGTGTTTAGAGTGCAGTTTGTGTGAATGTCAGATTGTGCCTGACCCATTTTAAACACCCTATGCCCCGTGAGATGAACTCTGTGAATGCTCTTGAATTGTATTAGTTGAAAGTTAATTTTATTACTCATAAAAAAGACATTCTTACAGATTTGGTACCAGAAGTGAGCACTGGGAGTGATAGCCAGTCATTTTGTTGAAAGTAGCAGTGATATTGTTTTGTCTGACAGGAATATGATTTTAGATATTTTGTATAATACTGTCTTTGCAGATGTTATTCCTTTTAAATCTGGAAATGGAGGAGATAAATGGAGATTTGTACAGTAGATGCTTTGTTTAACTTTGAGTTAATGGTAGACTTGAGTTATAGGTATTGAAGAAAGTGAATCCTTTCAATGCTGAACTTCTGGACCAGGTCCGGAGAATGGTAATATGGTGCAATTATTGAAAATGTGTCTAAAGTGAGGGATGCCCTTTCAATCCATAAGTGAAAGTAAAGTTGTTTTTTTTATAAGAAAGTCTGTTCAAAATCAGAGTGAACTGTAAAGGTCAAAGAGTGAAGTCTGTGATTTTTATGGTATTTCAACCAGGACGTTGATATGGTCAAAATGTTGAAAGATGAGTGATTGATTGACTGACTGAGAAATAGTAGGTCTGAAATATTAATGGACGTCTCTCTCTCTCTCTCCTCTCTCTCTCTCTCTCTCTCTCTCTCTCTCTCTCTCTCTCTCTCTCTCTCTTTTCTGGACGATGATACACAGATACAAAAATTGAAAGACAAACGGCCTGCCCTGTGTGGGAAACACGGCTGCCCTTCTGACCTGTGGAGTTGAGAGGAGGCTGGCCGTGGTCTTCAGCCATTGACGTCAGCACCAGTGAGGTGTCCTCTGTGACATCGGCAAGGTCAGAAGTCAAGGTCACAGCCCCTGTATCGCTGTTTAAAGCCAAATATGGAGAACTTCCTGCAGAGAAACTACAGCAACAGAAAGAAAAAAATATGCTGGGGTTTTACAAAAATATACAAAAAGATGCAGAAAACTGTTCAATGAACTGGAGTGTCTTAGTGTTATTATGTAAACAGCTCTCTTAGTCCTGGAGTTTTCTAAACCAGACATTACATTTCAACTGTAAGGTAATCCAGGAAGAAGGCTGTACAGTATGAGTCTTTAGCTGACCTGTAGGTGATGAGTGAGTTGTTCCCGGCGTCTCTGTCTGTGGCGGACAGCGTCAGCAGCAGCTTCCCCTCCTCTGCATCTTTCAGCAGGATGCTGCTGACATAGCTGCTGGAGCTGAACTCAGGTCGGTTGTCGTTTACGTCCATGAGGCTGACTCTGATGGTGGTGACGTTCTGGAGCACAGGAAACAGGTACAAGAGCATTTTCAGTACAAAAAAATGAAGAAGTCTTGATTTGTATAACAGGTTGAACTATTTTATTTAACTGTAATATTTAAGACAAAACACCACAATAGAGACGTTATTAACATGCCCACATTAGTATTTCTGCGTATTTTGATGACATTTATTAAAGTACCTCTAAATGCTCCATATCCCTAAAAAACAGTACAACCTAAGGTTTTTGTAAGTCAAGAAAACATTAAAATTATGAATTTGGTTAAACTGTGTCAAATAAAAAATACAAAAACATGAACTGTTGCTTAATAAACAAACATTTGGATCCTCAGCTTTGTGCTGCAGAAACATAATGTTCTATGTACTGTTGGTTTATATTTGAGATAAGTTCATTTTTAATAGACTAATCAGTCTCTTATCATAATCAGGTGTTACCTAATACTAAACATACTTTACCATTATAACTGACATTGAATCTTTATATCATATTCATCGTTGTTGTTGTGATTGTTGTTGTTGTCGTCTCTATCCCTCTCCTTCCTGCATCGCTCTCTATCTCACTAAGCCCAACAGAGTTTCAGGAGATGTCTGTTCAGCATGAGTTTGGCTTTGCTAAATGTTCTGTTATAATCTATGTTCAATTCATTTGACATCGCAGAACATTTGTGTGCATCAAATAAAACTCCAAATTTGTATTCTGAGATGCATTATTAGGCTTTAAATTTCTAACAAACTATCCAGCAAAGATCCTGAAATATATTTGTTACTAAACCCATTCTGATGTTTGTATCAGTCAAACATTGTGTCATCATATATCTGAAAACTCCCTTGAAACAATAATAAAAAACAGTTATAGTATAGCTAATGTGTGTTAACGTCATGTCTCACCTCTCTCTGTGGGATTCCTTTATCAGAGGCCTTTACAACAAGCTCATACGTCTCCCTGCTCTCCCGATCCAGTCGTCCCACAGCCAGCAGCGTCCCGTCCTGCCACACACAACATGACCTGTCAGAGGTCTGACACAGTACTGAAAACATTTGTACAATCCTCTCTATCTGCCTTTACCTCTCTGAATCTGAAAAGCGGGTGAGGGGAAGAGAGGGAGAGAGTGACCTCGCCCGCGGGGCCGAGGTCGGCGTCTGTGGGTAAGAAAGTGAAAACTTCTCCTGGAGTTTCCTCCGAGTAGTCCCCTTCAGGGATCTGTAGGGGGTTGGGGATAGTTGGATACTGTGGGGTGTTATCGTTGTAGTCCAGGATGGTGATGTTGAGCTGAGCTGTGGAAGTCAAACCAGAACTCGGCTGATCCACCGCACGCACCTTTAAACAGACAGAAAACCACAGGAGCTCAGGAAACAGATTTTGTCAGATTTTGTTAGATTTTTCTCAGTATCATAAGCAGTCACACAGAATCTTTTTAACCTGGTTAAGAAGTTGACTAGTTGATTAAATGTTTTGTCAACTTGCTGGTGGCACAAGAGTTACTAGTCGGTTATCTAATTATTATTTTCATTAAGGTAAGACCACAATGCTGATTTAATGTGGTGTCTAAACCACAAAACAGCCACCTACCACGAGACAGGGCGGTACCTCTAGTTCAGGGGTGCCCAACCTTTTTTGAACCAAGATCTACTTTTAAAGTTGCCAGTCTGCCGAGATCTACCAGTCCACATAGTGAGCCATAGCCTTTACCAACAGCCTACAAACGCATTTAATACTCAAACAACAAACAGAAAATAATATCAGATATAATAAATGAGAGTTCTGTAAAAAATAATGCAATATCGACATACTTTTTTAAAACTCTTATTTTAGGGTAGGCTACATTTTAATATTAAGTTTGTATTTATATCACATATGTTTTTCCCTTAATTTAGTTTACAACAAACAACTTTAATCTGTGTGGAGATGTTCACAGACTACAGCAGGCTGCTGTGAGATGATTTTGCTTTTGTTAAATTAGCTGCAGACACGATGAGAGTGAACGGAGTAAAGTCCAACCGACTGTTTGACCGGGTCACGTGTGTTCCCACCTCAGTCCGTACGGATCACGGATCAACTGTGTGCTGTAGCACTAAAAGTAAAAAGTAAAAAGGTTCGCGTGGTGGCTGGCGCTCCAGTGCAAGTGTGTGTGTGTGTGTGTGTGTGTGTGTGTGTGTGTGTGTGTGCGTGTGCGTTTGCGCTGTTTGTTGGTGTGTCTCGTCCCCCGCCATGCTCACAGTCATGACAGCAGAGAGGAGCAGAGAAAAGTAGCTGCAGCTTCATCAAATGCGCTTAATACTCGTAGCATAGTTTCTATATATGACTTCTTGTAAAACATTTACACACAGCGATCGACTGTTTGGGCACCCCTGCTCTAGTTTATGGGACTGCTCTCCTATCTGTGCTTCCCTTCATTTGAGATTGTTTACCCCCAGAGTAATGCACGTCCGGAATGCCACACATTTTAGCAGCATTTGAAATAGACTTGCTGATGAAATAGACTTTCCAAAGAATGTGAAAAACTTTCTCAAACAGCAGTGTAATAGGCCACACGCAATATGGTTTGTCCAGTGTTTAGCCATGTTAAATACAGTTGACTAAATGTTTTTGACTGTCTTACCTTAAGTCTAGTTGACTGGTCAGAACTTACAGTTGTGTTAAATAAACAGGGAAATGAGTAACATCCCAAGTAAACAGTTTGAATAAAGCTCAGACCCTTACAGGGAGTTATCCTAATATGCATCAGACTAAAGACTCTGACAGCAATGAGAAAGGACCTTCATTATGTTTAGAATGAATATTTTTTACATGGACTGGAGATGTGTTGCATTTCCCTCCCATTAGTGTTTTATACACAGATATGCGAGCTATACATTTTTTATATTTATTCTGAGAAATGTTTGTTGTCTTTTGCACACCACTCCTTGCTTGTATAGAGTCAGTACAATACAGAACTTTTGATGCGAACAAATTAACGAATTATAACCTGAAGAGTAATCTAAAGGCTGTACATATCTAAACAATGAACTGGTTAAAAAAAAATGAACAGGAACATTTGTATTTTTCACTTAAATATGTAAACTCCATTATGTGTTGTATGGTTGTAAGTTTTAGAAATAATCCTATAAACAGAAGCTAGAAAAGATGTTCATGTCCAGATAAATGGGTTTAGTACCTCTATTATGTAGCTGTCTTTTGTCTCTCTGTCCAGGCTGACATCCCTCCTCAGAGAGACCACACCCTGTGTGTTAATGTCAAATGTATCGCTGGTAAACATGAAGTAACCGTTAGAGAATCCATCCTGGAGAAGAAATAAGACTGAATCAATGAATCATTGTCAGAGTTTCTCAAGCACTGATGTAGTTAAAGGTACATAATGAATATGAATAATGTCTGTGATTATGACATTGTGGTGCAGAGGCCAAAACCGTAAGACTGGCATAATCATCTAGGCAAGGCAAGGCAAGTTTATTTATGTCGCACATTTCAACAACAAGGCAATTCAAAGTGATTCACACAAGACATTAAAAGCATCATGACAAAGGAAAGAAAAGAAACATTAAAATAGAATATTTAAAAAATCACTGAAATTATTAAATCTGAACATATATTCAAATAAAAATAATTCAAATGAAATTAATTGAAATAAATAAAGTAAAAATATGAAAACAGTTAAAAGTTACAGTGCAGAGTTAAAGTTTAAAATCTTATTAATCTAGGTTACATTATTATATTATAGATGGCTTACAAGACCTCAAAAGAAACACCTCCCCTTAAGGTGCTGAAATGTTATATATGGTTGCTATGGTTGCTATGGTTGCTATGGTTGTTATGGATGCTATGGTTGCTATGGTTGTGGTAACACAAATGGCAAATGCATCACTAAAGGCTGACATAGAGGGCAGCTTGTTATAAAACCTATGAACAAATATCAAAAAGGTGCTGTTTGAGTAAAAGTCAGCTTCTGAAATGTTTTAAGGGGGGCTCAACTTCGCTCTTTACACTTTACTGACAACTGTAACAACTCATGTATTTCAAAAATAGAATTAAGACCACAATCACACTCAAAGAATCTTGAGCAAAGAAGCTGATTTAACTCACCTGGTCCCTGTCAGTAACCTCCAAGGTCAGGATGGACGCACCGCTGGCCAGGTTCTCAAAGACAGCTATGTCGTAGCTTTCCTTGCTGAACTCAGGTGGATTATTGTTCACGTCTTTCACCTTCACCACTACAGAGCTGTTTACAGTCAGGGAGGGACTCCCTGCATCAAGGGCCTGAACTATCAGACTGTACACCTTCACCTGGCTGTAGTTCAGAGGCTGAGCCAGCCGCAGAGTCCCACTGGAGGAGTCCAGCTCAAAAACTTCAGGATCTGATGGAGGACTCTGAAGGAAAATATTGTAACTAACTCTCCCATTGGCTCCTTCATCTGGGTCTTCAGCTGTTACAGTGAGCAGGCTTGTACCTACGGACTCCGTCTCCAACACTTCAACCTGATACTCAACAGATGAGAACAGGGGGGCGTTATCATTGATGTCAGAAACTCGTAACAGCAGGGAGGCTGTGGCTGACCTGGTAGGACGACCCTGATCTTCAGCCACCACCAGCAGGTTGTACTCTGCTTTGGTCTCCCGGTCAAGTTCAGCAGCTACACTCACCATCCCAGACAGAGGGTCAACAGAGAACCTACCCTCTCCTCCTTTTAAAGAGTATCTGATCTCCTTGTTGAAGCCGCTGTCTTTGTCTGTAGCAGAGACAACAGTAACGTTGTGTCCTACCTCTGTGTCCTCTGGGACAGATGATGTGACAGAATTGGAGGTAAAAACCGGACTGTTGTCATTAACATCAGTGACCTGAACCTCTACCACTGCACTGTCTCTGCTGAAACCATCAGAGATGGAGATCCCCACAGAGTAGTTGTGTGAAGCGTCATCATAGTCGAGCTTAACCTTTGTGGTTAATTCACCACTAGAGGAGATGTCAAACTTGTCGGCTTCTGTATCGACTTGGAGAGTCACAGGAATCTCATGACTTATTGAGAGGAAGTTAACCTGATAAAAGAGGAGCAGAACTTGAATAATATTTTCATATGAGCATGACCCTTCATACCAACCTAGAAAACAAACCCACCTTGACAATCAAAACTCCTGGGTCCTGGTTTTCTTCTATGGTGCCACTGTAGACTTTCTGTAAAAACTGAGGTTTTGAGTCACCAGGAGCCAGGATGTTCACCTGTGCTGAGGCAGAGCGGGATATGATGCCCTCTAAAAGAGAGATGGAGAAGAGTATCCAAATGACACGTGTGATCAATCTTTTCTACCTTCCTTCTCTGAAATCTCTGCATGTGTTTCGGCTTGTCATGTTCTAATCTTTTGAAGCCTTTTGGACACTTTAGCTGCAGTAAACACTCATGTCAGTTTAGGGCTTGTATGTTACTCAGCAGAGTTTCAGTATGACCCCTGTTGTACGACATCTCATCTTTACGTAAAAACTGTTCAACCTTTTTCAAAGGATCCAACTCACAAAAATCTTGCCTTCCGTCGCCTCAAGTCTGCCTTCCATATGTTCCTGATTTCTCTGAAGTACGTCCTTTGTGTGTTTTTGTGAATAAAAACCTCTTCCCTTGAAGCATACTGTTGCTTTTAGAGGTGAATTACACCTGCATAAAATCGTAACTCTTTACAGCATTCTTGAACTTGTTACACAATCTAATCTCAAAAATATTACTTCCAGTAGGTGCTCTCAAGATGTGAACTATGAGTTTCATAATTATGAGACCTTCATTTACAAATAGTATAAGAAATGGAAAATACAAAAAGACTTCTTGAGAGATTCAATTGCTAGCTGAGGTAGAGAGTTGGAGCAATTCAAGTTGTTTGTCTAACGTCACCATTCCTAAAGGTGTGGTGCCAATTTATGATCACAAGAATGTGATACTGCCAAAGGTGAGGCACCTGACGTGACGGACTTGCAGTTTCAGCACAAAGAACTGCTCATTGACAGTAGGGTACAGACAGATACCGATATAATCTTTGAAGTTAGATAGGACTAATGCTTTGTGCTATAGACATTCTTAAATGGTTATACTTTAGAAAAGATTACACCCAAACTTCATAATCAGGTTAGGTGATTTAAAAAAAAAAAATTCTGGCATGCTGTATAATCAGAGAAACGATGTCAACATTTACCATCTCTCGCTGTTATGTAGAGAGGGAACTCCATAATTATGTTTTGTACCAGGGGAATGGTTTTAGCCAGCATGATCTCTCCGGTGTTTTCTTCAATTGAGAAATAGCCATTGTTGTTTCCAAACTCAATAGAGTATTTGACTCTGCCATTTGGGCCTGCATCTGGATCCTCTGCTTTTACCTTTGAGTAAAAATATTGAAATCACACTTTCATAACTGTAAATGAAAATGACATAGCAAAACGTTTTTCAACATTATAAAAAGAACACAATTATCAGGAAAAGTATGGGGCAAAGGTAGGTTTAAAAAAAGAAAACATCTGAGCAGTTATTACAGTTGTATGTCATCTGCTTAGCTGGTAAGGGGGAATGTATCTTCAGATCATTTATTGCATTTATAGGGTTCCTGAGGTTGAAGCTTGTGGAACTCCGTAGATAATTTCCACAAGAAATGTTGACTTCCAAATCTTAAAAAGGAATTTCAAGAATATGAATGAGCTGTAACCTCAACCAAGTTATCATGTAGGGCTTGGCGATATGGCTTAAAATAAAATCCTAATCTTTAACTAACCCACACCCAATTTACAAGTTAACAGAAATGTTATTTGATATCCAGAAAAGGTTCTTCACAATGTCCGTGACTTGTGCATCTTAAAGTGCCAAACTCTTAATCCAATCGGCTGCCTACTTCTAAAAAAACCCCTGTTATAACAGACAGAGCTTAGTTCAAGGTTGGACCCTTTGAAATTAAACAACTTAAAAACGTCAAACCCCTCACTTTAATCAACATTACTATATGCTACTTTATTTTTAAGAGAACTTTTGCTTTACTTTCAACCCCAAGAGCTCAGAAAAAATCGACATCATAGGTACCCATGATGAATGAAAAATCTATTTTCATTCATAAACATTGCATAAACCATGAATTCAAATTAATCTATAAAATAGACAATCAGTCAATTTAGTGTCACACGAAGTGCAATCTATTTGTACTACTACTACTTGTAAACAGAAATGTTTTAATTACTAACCTGGACGAGCAGCATTCCCTCTGTTTGATTTGCAAACACCTTTCCTTCATATTTACTACTGGTGAACGTTGGACTGTTATCATTCTCATCTGAAAGAGTAACATGGACTTGTGCCACTGCAACATTGTTGGGTGTTTCCGACTCCTTTGCTTCAATCTGTTAATAAACAAGAGAAAGCTTAAAATAAAAGTTATACTTACAATAAAAACAGGACTAAATACAAAGGTATGTTCCCAACAACCTTTACAGAGATCAAAACTGACGTTACATAGTTGTGTCTCCATTTAAAGGTGTTTATCCTTACCTGAAATGTGATGCTTTCAGTGGTCTCTCTGTCCAAAGCTGAGGAGTTCTTCACTCTCACCATCCCGTCAGAGTCAATAGAGAATGGAGCTGATTCTGGAATGAGTCGTAAGGTTCCCACAAATCCTCCCTGAGGACGAAAACCATGAAAAAAAAAATCAAGTAATTAAATGTAACTCAGATTCTGTGTTTTGTTCAGAGTAATATCTACCTGGTCTGGGTCATCCACCATCGCTTTGAATACAACAGCACCATCAGGAGAATTTTCCAGGAGTGTTTCAGAGTAGTTAGGCTGGTCAAACTCTGGAGCATTATCATTCACGTCCTCAACAGTCACAGTCACCACAGTATCTGCCGTCTTCAAACTGTCGTCTGTCTGGGCTGCCTGCAGAAAGAAAATATAACTGATTAAGATACACTATACAGCTTTATTTACTGCGTTTCACTCAATCTACAAAAAAGTCAATATAAAGACCATGTTTGTGATGTGTGACTTTATCACCAAAATTTGCATCACCAAGTTTGCGTTTTACCAAATGATCATTTACATTTGGAAGTAAAATGGCTAGATTAGTTGTGGGCCAGCATTAATCTCAGCATTTCAGTATTTTTTTTGCCAAGAATTCAATGAAGACTAAGTATAGAGTATGCCTTCTCTGAAGTATAGCTCTCTATCCTTTGTGCAGTTCTCCTCTCCTTCGACTGAATAATTGCAACACGGAGGCTAAGAATGCAACTCATGACTTTTTCTGTCAGTTTTTACGATGTTGACAGATACTAGTAAAGGCTTGATTTTTTTTAAAGGTTTATTGTTGGGGGTTTTATGACTTTATTTTGAGAAAGGACGGTGGATAGAGTCAGAAATCGAGGAGAGATAGAGAGCGGGGAATGAGATGCGGGAAAGGAGCAACAGGTGAGATATAAACCCGGGCTGCCCGCTTGGAGGACCTCCAGATGCACAAATCCCTAGGCTACCGCCCCACGTGTGACTGGCATTAAAAATGACTTTTTGTGCCAAATCTGCATTTTAAAACATAGGTACTTCTAATTGATCCAAAAAGAATTAAGATGAGGGTTGCTTGATTCCCTGGGGAAAAAAACAAGAGTATCAGAACCACACATCAATGAACTTTGATACATATTTTTCCAGTTTTTATGTATTTCAACTCAATAGGCAGCCATTGTATACACTCATGCGACTTCTGTATTCGTGATCTGGGCTTTGAGCCACCAGGGAATAGTGTTGAATAATGCAATGTCATGAGATAGTTGTGCTTTGTGTCACTTCACCTATTCATGAAAGATGAAATGTTTAAAATGACTTTACCTTGATGCTGACAGAGATCACACTGCTGCTCATCTCCTCTCTGTCTATGCCTATCAGCACAGACATAACTCCACTGCTGGAATCAATTCCAAAGTTTCCTTCATACTTTTCTGGAGTGACTAAAAAAATTAAAACAATATCAAACATTTTTATGTTTTAGCCTCAAATTCTGAGCTGAATTCAAATGTTCTATTTCTTGTTGTGTACCTGCACTGATTGTGTAAGATAAAGTCATGTTGATCCCAGTGTCTCCATCCTGAGCCTTTATCGCCTCTGGCCCAATGGTTCGAAAAGGCCCAGCCTGGAACACATATATACACAAAGTGTGATTATAATGAATCTGAAAATCTAATTCATCCAAAGGGAAAACTTCTTCTTCTTCAGGAAAAAGGACCTTATTAGTGATTAAAAAAAATGTTTTTTTATGAGAAATTTGATTGTGACGCATCTTTTAGCCCACTGATGCTTAAAAAAAAATAAGGACCCTGTTGATAAATGTTGAAGTATGTAGTCTAAAGACCCACCTGTTCCTCTGGAATAAATGCTTGGTACATGTTGTGGCTGAAATAAGGATTTATGTTGTCAAAGTCCTTTACGTTAATCAACACTGTGGCACGGTCATTTAAGCCCCCAAGATCCTTTAGTGAAAAGAGGAACAAACAGATAAAAACCCATGTTGTTAGTTTTTTTTCCTCTGGGTAACTTCAGAAGGGACACTTTGTGTTGATACTGTCTCCTACCTGGGCTGTCACTATGAAGTTATACTTTTGGACAAGGTTGTAGTTCAGGCGTCTTTGTAAAACAAAACTCCCTGAATTGGTCACCATGAAGTCATCTGAAGCTGGTGCCTTGGGAAAGCAGGACATCATACATTACATCTCACCTTAACAATTTAGAAGCACAGAGTACCTCCATGATGTGAGTGCTTCTGCTTACAATTGAATATGTGAGCCTGTTGTTTGCTGGGCTGCTGTCTGCATCCACTGCTGACACTCGAAGAACCTCACTGTCCACTGGTACCGCCTAAAAGAAGATGATATTGAATGACTTAAAACTTAACAAATGAATATACACATTGGGGCGCTGGTTTAGATCGGTTGTTAGAGCAGGCGCCCCATGGAGAGAGGCTACAGTCCTCGAACCGATCACTGGTACGACTCCTGGAGCATGTCTCCCCATATTGCTTGTCTCTCTTGAACTTTCCCACAATCTTAAAATATGCAAATAAAACTGCACTCTGACCCCACTGCACTCTCACTGGTGGGAAAAATTAGTAATGCTGAGCTTGCAGCTTGAGTACAGAGAATAAAAGTATTGCTTGCAGTACATGATGTGGGTCCATTTTGAAAAAGAGAGACCAAAATAAATAAAACCAGCAGAAAGATTTTTTTACATTAATATATTATTTTAATTCTATCTCGTAACTCTGCTTACAATCCTGTTTTTAGGACTTTGGGCAGCATCTTTGCATGAAAAGTGTTTTATAAAAAAAGATGTATTATTAGAGTTACACTAGCTTTTATTCAACTGTCAAAAATGTAATCTACAACCTGTCCCACTTGTTCTCACCCCCCAATTAATTATCTGTCTTCTTTCCACCGGAAGCTCCTTGTACAAGATCCTACTTATCACCACTTAAAACATTTAATTTCATCGTGCAATAATCTTTGTGAATTGACCCTCCCAAGAATAGATAGCCATAGCTTCTTTAGGTTTCTCAGAAATTGAAAGCAAAGGACATGTTGAAACACTTTATATTTCCAGGTTTTTTACAGTCTGTGTATCTATGGATTTGACAGACACATTATAACCTGCAGCACCTGAAGTTAGTCCCCAAGTGTTGACCTTCTGGTTAAGATGCGTTTTTAACAAATGATTTGTGTATATTTTGACTTACCTCAGAGACATCTGTGCTGTAGTGATGCTCTGTAAATACCGGGCTGTTGTCATTCAGGTCAATGATTTTTAATGTTCGAGTGTTGTTGTACTGCAGGAAAAGAAACAATTTAAAATACTTTGTTGTGTAATGTCAGTGAATAGTCAAACTTTCTCATTTTACCTACCTTAATTACACCATCACACATGACAGAGTAATACAACGTTCTGTCACTCTGTAAGAGATCAACACAGGAGAATTTAAGACTGTAGGGATGACTTACAGGACACAGTTTAGAACTTACACTAAATGATTAATACATATAAATACTGATAGATTAGAACTATAGGCTTTCAGTGGGCAGGCACAGAGAGGCTGACGTGTAAAGAAAACAGGACAGCACTCCTCATATAACTGCTCATACTTTAGTGCTTTAGCATGACTCTGGCACAGCGTTGGCAACGTTTTGGGGGTTCAGTTAAATATCAATATAATGCCAAGTTTTTTAAATCAGGTAATAGACCTAAGGGCTTATAACACTCTCTTGCTCTGGAAAACTAACAGAGATGATCACAGGAAAATACTCTAGGGAAAAATATGGAAAGTTCATGTATCCTTTAGAGGAAGCCTGTTTGCCTTGAAAAATTGCTGATATAACAAATAACATGCAATTTCTTTATATTTTCTTTATTTGATAGTTTTAGCACCTACATGTTGAGGTTCTATGCTTTTCATCTTATTAAGTAAATTTTAATTAGATAGCTCCCTGTCACAGCTTTGAATAATCAGAAAACTCCTTGTCGTGAATGTTCTTAAGTGCACTTTTATACAATTGTTCGTTTATTCATTGTAATACTGGTGAAGTTATGTTACACATCTTAATAAACTTGTTTTAAAAATCACTATTATCACAAGTTTAGTCTTGCAAGTTAATGCTGACTTAGTATATTTAACCAAGACTTCATTTTTTTCCCCTTGTGAAAATAAACCAATAAGGAAACCTCATCATAGTAACGGATGAGTTAACTCATGCAATGATAAATATATGAACATTTTCTGTTTCTGTGATTGAAACACAAATAAGATAGCAAAATGCTGTTTAAGTAAAGACGATGATAAAACTTAATTTCCAGAAGAAGTATTGCTCTGACTCACAGCTGCCAGTACGTCTGCGTCCAGCAGCTTTTTGGTGCGAACAATTGCGCTTGTGGCTCCAAGCGTGAAGTCCAGCTCCAGAAACTCCAGGTGTGTAGGGAAGATGTAGGGGACCAGCTTCACATTGCTTCCTTCAGTAATCCCACTAAACACCTCCACATCCCCTGCAGCATCATGGGAGCATTGTGAGGTGGATGAGATTAACATAATGTACATGCTTTCACAAAGTACCAACATAAGCAAATATTTCTTCATCATAACTTTGAAAAAAAGAAACAACCAGTGATCTTTTTCCTTCAACATGCATCACAAATGTATGACCATGAAATTTAAATACATGAAGCATCTCACTTATATTGATACAAACTGCTTATTATAAAAAGTTCAAGTACTGAACATGTATTTGCATTTTAAATGAGTTTTAAATCTTACTTACCTCCATACCCTTCAGACACTTCACCCACCATTTCATTGCTTCCATGTTCACAATTTATGACTGAAGTACCTTTTGCAACAAAAAAATACAAGTCAACAGAAATTAGATTTACACAATCTACTGTAAATAAACACACTGTTTCTCAGTTATCACAGCTGATATGTAGATATGAAGAATATTTAGCTTACATTAAAGAGGAACTATGTAGCCAATTCATAACTACATTATGAGTCTTTAGATTAAGTAGAACTGTTAACAAATCGGTCTGCAGTTCACTGCAAGCAAGGTCAATTGTGACTATGACCATTTTGAATTCTAGAGCTTTAAGGTTAATATTTAAGACATTTTCCTCAAGCACAGAGAAAGGCTTTAAACACTATTGATGTCATCATGTTGTAAAGTGATTGGACAAAGCAGAAAACCAAGGCCTACACCAACAGGAGTAAGACTACTTGACATCATCAGTGAGTCATACCCAGAATCAAACATGGATTGGACTAAGTAGGTGCCTTCTTTGTGTCAGGTATCAAGGTCTTTATAAAACACCCATGGTTAGCCCCCAGCAGAACTTGTATTCTCCATGACAATCACTTGAAACTTGACATTTTAAGAAAAGTCTTAAGCAAAAGGAAAAGAAAGAAAAATCTTTCTGGACAGAATGTAGAGGGGGGTGGGTATACCAGTCAACTTGGGAAGAAAAAAAACAAAAAACACCTGTATCCTGTGCAGTCTTAAGCCTGACCTTTAGAAGCCTGATTTGCTTTTTTACGTACCTATAGGCTCTCATTATTCCGATCTTTGGTCACATTTGGTATGAAATCCTAATATACATCAAATGTACAACATTCAATATGTTCAATAGAAATGCATCCGTTAAAACTACTCTTTGCCAAATGAATCATATTTCTACTATATAGAAAATGAACTCACCTATAGAACTACCAGTAATGACACAAACACAGAGGGGGAACACAAGGAGACCACTTCGAAAAAATCCATAGGTGTCCATGTCGGCGCAGTTACGTTTTCTGAAAACCCGTAAACCCACACTGAAGTGATCAGTGGAATTACAGGTGTTAAGAAGCTTCTGCAGTATGCCTCGCCCTGCTTCCCAGCACTCCTGTTTTATGACGGGTCATAATGTATTGCACTGACAGTAAATGTGCAAAAGTCCAAGACCAAGAGTGAGTTCCATTTCCCCTGAAAAAGTCTGTTGAATCATGTTTTAAATTTACAGCAGGAGCAGTCAGGGACAAATGTATAGCTTTGATAAAGGCTTATTAGAATTTTAGAAATCAGAAGAGATTTTTAGCATTGTTTGGACATTCTGTTTTATTTTTGTTGTTGTTTCCCATCTACAGCCTTTCTCATCTTTTTATGAAATGTTAATTGTCTCTGTTACGGCTTACATGTTTCACCAGGCGGTTTGTCTCTTCTGCCCTTCTGTTGTCTTCAGCTCTGCCCAGGTGATCACTGAGCGAGTAACGAGTAATTAAGAGAAATCTAACAATACAACTGATACTTGCAATACTATCCGAAAAAATAGTGCTACACCCAATATTGATTGATTTCCTTCACAAATACCAAAATTGCGGGCACTCCTGCACACTTCCATCGAATTTTGTGTAATTTAGACATTGCTCTCTCTCTTAATCTCACTTCTGGGAGCATTTGGTTAAAAATATGACAAAAGAGTCATTTTTGAAAACTTTGTTACTTTTCAATACTCTTGATTATTAAAACATGGGAGATTTGATTGTTTCCAAACATGTGGAATTAAAAAACAATGATGTGTCAATAACTTTGATAACCTCAGAGTCGAATTCACAAGTAAGTTGTGTGTTTGTGTGCGTGTGTGTGTGTGTGTGTGTGTGTGTGTGTGTGTGTGTGTGTGTGTGTGTGTGTGTGCGTGTGTGTGCGTGTGTGTGTGTGTGTGTGTTGTGTGTACCTGATCATTTAAGTCATATTTCTACTTTTAATATTTTTTTATGGTTATTAAAAGTCTCGTGGATTTTTCTGTATTTAATAAAAGATCTCAAGTCAAACCGTTTTTTCTCAAAGTATCAGGGTTTCTTTTGCAAAAGGAAGAAACGTATACTGAGGTGACTATCGTCACAAGTGCATAGCAGAATCCCGCTCGGGAGCGGTTACGAGACATTTATACCAGACTTCGAGACATTTATACCAGACTTCGAGACATTTATACCAGACTTCGCAAAGCGGGGCACTCTCATTGGTTGACTCATGTTGATGTGTTTTAATCTGCCAAGAGACTCACCTATAATTATCTCTTAGTTTCATGACAGTTATGTTCGTGTGTTGTGTTGTTTGTGTTGTTCTTTCAGACAGGGTGTTGTACAAATGTCCTCGCACCCAGATGTGCTTTGGCATGTGTTGTTTGTGTACGTGTTACTTCTGCTTCAGTATTTTTCCAATGTGCAAGCAGAAATTTGTGTGTGTTAATGCATAAACAAGAACATATATTTTTCCATTACATAAGTCAGTTTGTGCTCGAGGTTTCTGCCTGTTAAAGGAAGTTTTTCTTGTGCTTGCTTAAGATGGATCACTGGTAGGTTCTATATAATATTACAAATAGTACAATCTAGATTTACTATTACCATGACTCCCAGAAAATATTTAAATTAGGGGAAAAGCTGATGAGAAACAGAAGGTTACATTGAAACACGACTGTATATAAATCTATTTCTTTTTCTATTCTCCTCTTCTGACCTTTAGCTGCCATGCCCTCTCTTGACATCTGGGGCCAAATTAATCTGAGATCACTGATCTTAATATTTTCTGTGTTGACGAGCAAAACCTCCTTTTTAGTTTCTGTTGAAATCTCAAATCTGCAAGTCAGGGTGAAGAGGCAGATGATCTGTTTGACAAGAACCTAAAAGAGGAAACGTTTTCCTGCAGATAAAGTAGAAGGACGGTAAAGAGCATTTCAGGACAGAGGAAGGCCATTAAAGGCCATAAAGTCATTTTAAAAACCTTGGAATAGCTTGGAAAACATTTAATCTCTGATTTAAATGGTGACTTGAATCCTGTCACACAATTTGTTGACTCTTAAAAAAAAATTACATACGGGAAAGGAACGACAAGTTGGACTGGAGCCCGGGCCACACATAGGACAACATCCTCTGTGCATGGGGCTCGCAAACTAATCCCTAAAAGCACCAAGAATGTAAATGTTGTGGACAAGCTCTGGATTAAAAGACAAACTCATAATCATCCGCACATATTAACCAAAGGTGGAAAGAGTACTTAGATATTGTACTCAAGTAAAAGTACTATTCCTTTGATAATACTTTAAAAATGTACTCAAAAGTAAAAGTTTAAAATTTAGTTAGTTGTTCTGGCAGGCCGTCAACCAACGATCTTGAGGAGCCTAAGAGAGCTCAAGAGCTCTCAGGAAAGTAGGTGGCTAGTGACTGAGATTTACAGATAGATACATGCAGTAATATGATGTACTGTATATGCACAGAGAGAGAGAGAGAGAGAGAGAGAGAGAGAGAGGAGCTCAAGGTGCCAGTTTCCCCGGTAGTCTAAGCCTATAGCAGCATAACTAAGAGCTGGTCTACACCAGCACTAACTATAAGATTTATCAAAAAGGAAAGTTTTAAGTCTATTCTTAAAAATACAGACTGTGTCTGCCTCCCGGACCCGGCTGGAAGGCGGTTCCAGAGGAGAGGAGCCCGATAACTGAAGGCTTTACCCCCCATAGTACACTTGGAGACTGTAGGTACCACTAGTAGGCCTGCACTCCGGGACCGCAATGCTCTCGAGGGGCAGTACGGCACTAGTAGCTCCTTAAGATAAGATGGTGCCTGGCCATTTAGAGCTTTGTAAGTGAGAAGAAGGATCTTGAATTCTATTCTAGACTGTATAGGGAGCCAGTGCAGAGACGCCAGGACAGGAGTGATGTGGTCCCATTTCCTGGTTCTAGTCATTCGAGCTGCAGCGTTCTGGACCAGTTGAAGAGTCTTTAGAGACCCACCATAGCACCTTGACAAAAGAGAATTACAATAATCCAACCTGGAGCTAACAAATGCATGAACTAGTTTTTCTGCATCATTTTCCGACAGGATATTCCTGATCTTGGATATAAAACTTTATAAAACTAAAGTGCGATAACAAAATAAAACATTTAAAACCCTTAAGGAGCTATAATGTGTAGTTTGAGCTGTGACCATCCAACATTTTCAAACTATACAACCATTGAAGGTGGGTGCAATTAAAGGAGCGGATAAAGAACACAACCCATTTTAGTGAATTCCTCCCTGTTTTACTTTTGTAAATGTGTGCAACTGTGTCAGCATGCTCAGGTCAGTTATCAAAAACGAAGAGCTGCACTGTAAGTGAAACAACCTCTCTTTAAAAATGTCTAAGTTTGAAAATATCATATTTTCTTAATGCAACAAGTAGAAAAAATAAAAATTCTTCCATTGTTTTGTCACTCCATATCTCAATTCTATGTTACCTAATTCTAAAGTGTTCTTCCTCTTCTCCTTTTAGCTACAGCTCACTTTGTTCTTCTTTATTTTTCATATTTTTTCTAATGAAATCTCAATTGCTCAATCTTCTAATCAGAATGACGATGAACATTTAGTTTTTTCCTTTTTAAAGATTATTTTTAAAGATAAGGAGGGTGAAACATGGCATTTTTAGAGGTTGAAAGGTATAAACCCAGCAAACAATCCAAACATTCAAAAATTCAAAAAACAGCTGAGTGGAACCATCACAACCAGTGGCAGGCTTGGTGTTTAAAAAATGGACACAACTCTGACTACAAAAAACATGTTTTTTGTCAAGAGTTTTTGGCAGAGTTTTTTCACATAAACATAAGGGATTTATTAACAATCAAATCTAGCCACACTTTTTTAGTTAGCTACTATACCACTTGTGACAAGGAAACTAAATCTCAGGTTAGACCTTCACTGTAAAATAGAAAACAAGAACAAGGTGATCCAGTTTTTCCTGTAAATTAAAACCCTTGATATATATTTGTTTGTGTTCCTTGTGAGGATGTCATGATACCAGATTTTAAAACTTTAAATATGATACTGGTAAAGGCAAGAAATATTGATATCTATGGCAATACTATGGCAGTACTATTGACTCCAGCGCACCCAAAATTGTGAAATTATTTGTTCATAACAATCAACGTGCAAATGAATGGTTAAAGGCATAATCAAAAGGATTTTCTCATGAAATAATGTAATAAAGATTCATATTGCAAAAATCCCCCTCACTCATCACATATAATCCAATTGAAATATTTGGTGATGCTCTTTATCTGCAGAGAATATTCCCTCTTTCCTTCTTTTCTTCAATATTTTGCATCAATTTGCAAGCATACTTTTCAATGCTATTAAATATAAAACTATAGTTTAAAAAAAGTGGCATCAAAATGTATCAAAGTATATTGTTCTTTGACAACCCTAGATTATTATTCATCAATCCTTCTGTAGAATACTTTGCCTTATTTCACTATTTTTACTGCATAATCATAAATAAAAAGTAAAAATGTGAAAAAACTTTGTTTTTCCTCTTGATTCACCTCAAAGCAGAAGTGTAGAAGGGTAACCTGACCTGACCTTCCTTCTGTATTTCTGTATCATAATCCTCAATCTGCAAGCCTCAATGAACAGACAGATTTAGTTTTAGCCACTAGAACACAAATAGTTTTTCTTTACCAAAACACACACAAACAAACAAAAAAAGCTACTATCCAAAGGACTCAGAGGGTTTAGCATCAGTAAACAATGAAAGAAGCTAAAAACAAAGTATATTTGACTTCTACTTTCTGTTAAGAAGAGCAAAAACTACAGTAAATTCAAATATGTATTACTGTAGCTTGTTCAGCACATTAGCAAGAAAACTGTAAATCATAGGGGATTAGTGTTCTGGAATAAACAAAGTCAGAAATGTTAATATCAAACTTCTTGGTTTATTTAAGATTTTTAAGGGGCCTCTGGACACTATAACCAATTAGAGGAATGAAAAATGTTACATAGTGGCTGGCCGATTGGCTAGTCATATTGACTTGTAGTAGTATTCACCCCCTTGGGCTTATCCCAACTTTACAGTGCTACAAGCTGGAATTCAAATATACTTACAAAATTGTCTATTAAGTTTTTGATAAACAAGCAAGAGCAGCCCAAAAAGCAAACAGTTTTTGTATTTACAAGTAAACCTGAGGGCTGTTGGTTTCACCCGATCTTTGTCAACGGTTTCACAGCACAGCACTCAACGTCTTCACTGCATACAGCACCAATGATTTTTAATTTGCAGCATGAAAACATTTGGAAAAGTTTGAAGTTCTTGAATACAAGACACAAATCCCTCTGGTTCCTAAAAGCTAAATAAGTTTATCACTGTCAGGGACTTTTGACATATTCTCCAACTTTAACTCCCACTGTGCAAAACATTACACATTAATAACACAACATTCACCATATTTTAATGAGGTTAATTAGGTCAGGTAAGAATGAAAATGATATTGACTGACCGCTGAATGTTTCTTAACATATGGAAGAATGCTTCCTAATTCTGTTGAAACATCATCAAACAAGGGCAGGGTCACACTCCCAGGGTTTGGCAACCTCCTCTCTATAAAATACCCCTTCCTCTTACTGCGGCTTCACCTTCACTGAGAAGAAAGCAGAGGTGGGCAGCTTCTTTCACATGTCTTTTTCGCCATCAAAGAAGGTAAAGTTATTCCCTTGGGTTTATTGATCTTTTTTCTCAAGAAAGACATTGAATTAAGCTCAAATATATATTTTTACAAAATTTAGAAGTTTGGCCTTAATTTAAGTTATTTTTCTCCTGAAACCTTGTTCAATTTTGAACATTTCCATATAAAAATTATATATTAAAATGCCATATTATCCCCTATAAGGGATGAGATGCTGTGTTTGTTAATTAATTAAAAATGTATAGAGTTCTCATTGGGTAGTTGTTTGACATGGGTCAAGTTCATTGGATCAAATCCATCCAAAGACTTGTTCTTCAAGATTTATAAAGTAAACATTACATTCAATTGGTTTTAGAGGGGAGTAACTAACTCAACAATGGTGAAGAAATGGATGATGTTATCGAGTGTCTTGACTTTTTTTAACATGTTTTTTCTGTGTCAGTTGCTGTTGGAATCAATTGAAACTGCTGACTGAAGCAAGCTGACCACAGCTGCTGACCACAGCTGCCGTCCCCAATGCGGTCGAAAGCTACAAAGGTAAACCTACTTTGGAATGTAACATTTTAACATGTGAAATATATATTTTTCCGAAAGGTTTGATGTTATTGTATATTCCATTATAAGGGTTTAAATGACCAGCGACCAAGTTATAGATCTGTACTGGGTCTAGTCAGAGGGATCATGTCAGTCCTATTTAAGCCATCCTTCACTGTATTCCAAATGGCTTTAGGATTGATTTTAAGATGGTTTTGTTGTGGGTGCCACATTTGAAACCCATTCGCCTGAATAGGCGTATTATGTATTATTCTGTCTTTTCTGTGTTGTTTGTTTTTGTTTCATTAATGGCTTTTATGTGTTGTTACTTTACTTTGGTCAGCTGCTCCTGTTTAAATGTGGTTTAAAATTAACTTGACTCGAATTAATAACTGAAAATGTTTATCTAATTCATCCACAGCAAAGGTAGCATTACGTTTATTACAAGACTACGCCAAAACAATCACTGTCGAAAGATTTAATTGTTCGACAATGACATTTGTTTTTATGAGCTTTTACTGTAACTAATAGAATTTGACTGTATGCCACAGCTGAGTTGAGGATGCTTGCTGTCACCAGTATCACAATCAGAATCAGATTCAGATTTATTGGCCAAGAATGCTTACACACACAAGGAATTTAACTTTGGTGAACTGTGTTCTCTTATGTACAGGTACAACATTAAATATAAACAATAAACATAATAAGATGGGGCGCTGGTGGCGCAATGGTTAGTGCGCACGCCCCATGTATGGAGGCATCCCACCTGTGGCTTCTTTCCCGCATGTCGTTCCCCACTCACTCTCCCTGATTTCCGACTCTATCCCCTGTCCTGTCGCTCTATTAAAGGTACAAAAAGCCCCAAAATAAATCTTTAAAAAAAAACAAAAAAAACAAACAATAAACATAATAAGAAAAGACTAATATTTACATTACTAAATATAAAACAGTGCAGTGGTGAATAGTGCAAAAGATGCTAAAGTAACATGATAATAAGAAAAATGCAGTTATGTGACAGATGGGTCAATTAAGATGTCAATTACAGTATTTACATAAATAAGTGTGAGTATATTGATCATTTAAATTAAATAATATATATATATATATACATACATATATGTATATTCACAGTGACGGTTGGATTAGAGTCATTTCACCGCGACAGGTCTGACACTCTGTGACTGATCAGCGTTTATCAGAGTGACAGCCTGGGGGAAGAAACTGTTCATATGATGGGTTGTTTCTGCATCGATGTTCTGTAACGCCTGCCAGAAGGGAGGAGTTTGAAAAGTTTGTGTCTGGGGTGTGAGGAGTCTGCAGTGATACTACCTGCCTGTTTCCTGTCCTGGGACTGGTATAAGTCCTGGATGGGGGGCAGGTTGACACCGATGATTTTTTCTCCTGAAGTCCACTGTCATCTCCACAGTCTTGAGCAGGTTCAGCTCCAGATGGTTCTGACTGCACCAGAGAGCCAGCTGTTCCACCGCCCGTCTGTAAGCAGACTCATCTCCATCCTCGAGGAGACCGATGACGGTGGTGTTGTCTGCAAATTTCAGGAGTTTCACAGAAGGTCCCCTGAGGTGCAGTCATTGGTGTAGAGGGAGAAGAGCAGTGTGGAGAGAACACACCCTTGGGGGGCACCAGTGCTGATTGTCCAGGTGCTGGATGTGATGCTCCCCAGCCTGACCTGCTGTCTCCTGTCACTCCGGAAGTTGGTAATCCACTGACAGGTGGAGGCCGGCACTGTGAGCTGGGTGAGTTTCTGGTGCAGGATGTCTGGGATGATGGTGTTGAAAGCTGAGCTGAAGTCCACAAACAGGATCTTAGCATAGGTCCTTGGGGAGTTGAGGTGATGCAGGATGTAGTTCAGACGCATGTTGACTGCATCATCCACCGACCTGTTGGCCTGGTAGGCAAACTGCAGGGGATCCAGCAGGGGGCCTGTGATGTCCTTCAGGTGGCTCAAAACCAGTCTCTCAAAGGACTTCATGACCACAGACGTCAGTGCGACGGGTATGTAGTCATTGAGTCCTGTGATGGCGGGTCTCTTTGGGACTGGGATGATGGTGGAGCTTCTGAAGCATGAGGGCACTTCACACAGCTCCAGTGATGTGTTGAAGATCTGCGTGAAGATGGGGGCCAGCTGCTCAGCACAGACTCTCAGGCAGGATAGGGACACACCATCTGGTCCTGGAGCCTTCCTGATCCTTTTTATTCACCGCGGGAGTTCTCCTCCTTTGTTCTGGTGGGCTGGATTAAAAAAAAACTAGGTTAGGAGGGAAACACATTTTTGCCAACATAATAATAAAATGCACTAGCAACTCACCACTGACTCATTATAATTCATTTTTTAAATATAGTTACTAAGTATTGTAATCGTATGATGTCATTCATTGTTTGTACAAATTACTTTCTTTCCCTTTTTTAAAGTTTTATATCTTTTATTTCATATGTCCGAAATAAACTTCAAACTAAACTAACTAACTAAACTAACTAATTGAATTAGTGATAATGATTTTTAAAGCATAGCGGGTTTTGCACAAAAAACTAAAACAAGTTACAGGACTTTTTAAAATCACATTTGCAAAAAAATGGCTTCCATAGTTTACTAATCGTTGGAAGCTCTAACATGAACTGCCAAAAGTTACATTCAAAACAGACAGAAGAGCCAATTTTGTGGGGTGACTTTCAGGAAATGTTTGTCAATGTTGACAATACATTTTTTACTAAATTTGTAGGGGTATAAAACAAAAGTCTAAATAATCAGTACTAACTTAACATCAAAGCATAAACCATCACCATCTGATTTGGACAATTTATATAACATGTAAAAGTAAAAATAAAGCCAAACCCAAAATTATTTAAATATCACATGTTCATTGATGATAATCCCTGCTGCAGAATATATTTGCATTTACATTTTAAGACTGTCTAATGCTTGCATATTTCCCCGTTTGAATCTCTGTTTAATAATTTTCATCAAAGAAACTATTTTAATCTCTGCTAAACTCTGTGTGCAGATGGCTGGCCTATACTGGATGGCAGGGATGCTGGCCTTTTTCCTGTCCACTCAAAACAGCATGGCTGCTTTGAGCCCTGACAGGCTGGCAACACTTGTAAAGGGAATCGGAAGAGAGTGAGTCAAAAATATTTTCCTATGGATATGTTCAGACCACCACTTAGTCAAGGGCAAAAACATGATTAGGGGCAGCAACGTAGGGAGCTATTGCTATGGGGTAAAGAAAGCAGATTTAATACTAACAGTGCACTCCTTTGTGAATCAGTTGGAATCCCTGAGATAGAGACAAGTGAATTATAGCTGACGTTGTAACTGCTATATCAATCAACCAACCAATCAATCATTATTTGTATAGCACCAATCTGTAAGTGTTATCGGAAGATGATTTATATGGGGTATTATTTAGTCAGGATTTCTCCTTTGTATTCCTTGCGTTCCTGTTGTCCACACTTCCATGCCGCCGTTGTCAATGGCAATCCTAATTCTCCCTTTTTCCCAACCCCTACTTTTTCAGTATTCTTGACTGGGAAGTGAGCCTTTTTAAGGGATAGCCAAACATCTTCAATCTTCAAAAGAAATGGGATAACTTACCATACTACTAAAACGGAGGGGTGGGAGGTATTTCCCCTACACAATTATTTGTTTTCTGTTATATTAAGGGTACCTAAATTGTTATTTTTCCCATGTAAGAAAGTTTAGAACTACTGAGGCCTATGCAAGGCAAACACAGAAAAATGCTCCTGGTGGTTCACAAAGTTTACTGCCCAAAACATATAAAACAGCATAAAGAATAGTACATTATGTGGCAAAATATGCTTAAACGTATGCTTTTTTTTTAAAGGTACAGAACAGACAGCAGCTCTTCTCTGGCTGTGAGGATCCCTCTCGTCAACAAACAGAACACAACAAACATCCTTCAGGAAGTGTTGGACGGTGATCCTCCTCATAATGTGAAAAATACAGTCGATAAGGATAAGGTCTACATAGGCAAGAGGGCTGTTGCAGCCAGAGTTCTGAAACACAGAGGATATGACAGGGTCAAAAGAACATGGAGACATAGAACGGGTTGTGGAAGATGCAGAGGATATGGCAGAGTCACAGGAACATGGAGACATAGAAAGGGTAGCAGGGTCAAGGTAGGCAGGAGATACAGAGGATATGGCAGCGTCAGAGGAAAATGGAGACATAGAAAGGGTAGCAGGGTCAAGGTAGGCAGGAGATACAGAGGATATGTTAGAGTCAGAGGAACATGGAGACATAGAAAGAGTTGTGGGGTCAAGGTAGGTTGGAGATACAGAGGACATGGCCGGGTCAAAGGAACATGGAGACATAGAACGGGTAGCAGGGTCAAGGTAGGCAGGAGATACAGAGGATATGTTAGAGTCAGAGGAACATGGAGACATAGAAAGGGTTGTGGGCTCAGGGGAGGTTGGAGATACAGAGGATATGGCAGGGTCAGAGGAAATTGGAAACATAGAACGGGTTGTGGGGTCAAGGTAGGCAGGAGATACAGAGGATATGTTAGAGTCAGAGGAACATGGAGACATAGAAAGGGTTGTGGGGTCAAGGTAGGTTGGAGATACAGAGGATATGGCACGGTCAGAGGAAAATGGAGACATAGAACAGGTAGCGGAGTCAGGGGAGGTTGGAGATACAGAGGATATGGCAGAGTCAGAGGAACATGGAGACATAGAAAGGGTAGCGGAGTCAGGGGAGGTTGGAGATACAGAGGATATGGCAGAGTCAGAGGAACATGGAGACATAGAAAGGGTTGTGGGCTCAGGGGAGGTTGGAGATACAGAGGACATGGCAGAATCAGAGGAACATGGAGACATAGAAAGGGTAGCGGAGTCAGGGGAGGTTGGAGATACAGAGGATATGGCAGAGTCAGAGGAACATGGAGACATAGAAAGGGTTGTGGGCTCAGGGGAGGTTGGAGATACAGAGGATATGGCACGGTCAGAGGAAAATGGAGACATAGAACAGGTAGCGGGGTCAAGGTAGGTTGGAGATACAGAGGACATGGCAGCGTCAGAGGAACTTGGAGACATAGAAAGGGTAGCAGGGTCAAGGTAGGCAGGAGATACAGAGGATATGTTAGAGTCAGAGGAACATGGAGACATAGAAAGAGTTGTGGGGTCAAGGTAGGCAGGAGATACAGAGGATATGTTAGAGTCAGAGGAACATGGAGACATAGAAAGAGTTGTGGGGCCAAGGTAGGTTGGAGATACAGAGGACATGGCCGGGTCAAAGGAACATGGAGACATAGAACGGGTAGCGGGGTCAAGGTAGGTTGGAGATACAGAGGACATGGCAGCGTCAGAGGAACTTGGAGACATAGAAAGGGTTGTGGGCTCAGGGGAGGTTGGAGATACAGAGGATATGGCACGGTCAGAGGAAAATGGAGACATAGAACGGGTAGTGGGGTCAAGGTAGGCAGGAGATACAGAGGATATGTTAGAGTCAGAGGAACATGGAGACATAGAAAGAGTTGTGGGGCCAAGGTAGGTTGGAGATACAGAGGACATGGCCGGGTCAAAGGAACATGGAGACATAGAACGGGTAGCGGGGTCAAGGTAGGTTGGAGATACAGAGGACATGGCAGCGTCAGAGGAACTTGGAGACATAGAAAGGGTAGCAGGGTCAAGGTAGGCAGGAGATACAGAGGATATGTTAGAGTCAGAGGAACATGGAGACATAGAAAGGGTTGTGGGCTCAGGGGAGGTTGGAGATACAGAGGATATGGCACGGTCAGAGGAAAATGGAGACATAGAACGGGTAGTGGGGTCAAGGTAGGCAGGAGATACAGAGGATATGTTAGAGTCAGAGGAACATGGAGACATAGAAAGAGTTGTGGGGCCAAGGTAGGTTGGAGATACAGAGGACATGGCCGGGTCAAAGGAACATGGAGACATAGAACGGGTAGCGGGGTCAAGGTAGGTTGGAGATACAGAGGACATGGCAGCGTCAGAGGAACTTGGAGACATAGAAAGGGTAGCAGGGTCAAGGTAGGCAGGAGATACAGAGGATATGTTAGAGTCAGAGGAACATGGAGACATAGAAAGAGTTGTGGGGTCAAGGTAGGCAGGAGATACGGAGGATATGTTAGAGTCAGAGGAACATGGAGACATAGAAAGAGTTGTGGGGCCAAGGTAGGTTGGAGATACAGAGGACATGGCCGGGTCAAAGGAACATGGAGACATAGAACGGGTAGCGGGGTCAAGGTAGGTTGGAGATGCAGAGGACATGGCAGCGTCAGAGGAACTTGGAGACATAGAAAGGGTAGCAGGGTCAAGGTAGGCAGGAGATACAGAGGATATGTTAGAGTCAGAGGAACATGGAGACATAGAAAGAGTTGTGGGGTCAAGGTAGGCAGGAGATACGGAGGATATGGCACGGTCAGAGGAAAATGGAGACATAGAACGGGTAGTGGGCTCAGGGGAGGTTGGAGATACAGAGGATATGGCACGGTCAGAGGAAAATGGAGACATAGAACGGGTAGTGGGGTCAAGGTAGGCAGGAGATACAGAGGATATGTTAGAGTCAGAGGAACATGGAGACATAGAAAGAGTTGTGGGGCCAAGGTAGGTTGGAGATACAGAGGACATGGCCGGGTCAAAGGAACATGGAGACATAGAACGGGTAGCGGGGTCAAGGTAGGTTGGAGATACAGAGGACATGGCAGCGTCAGAGGAACTTGGAGACATAGAAAGAGTTGTGGGGTCAAGGTAGGCAGGAGATACAGAGGATATGTTAGAGTCAGAGGAACATGGAGACATAGAAAGAGTTGTGGGGTCAAGGTAGGCAGGAGATACGGAGGATATGTTAGAGTCAGAGGAACATGGAGACATAGAAAGAGTTGTGGGGCCAAGGTAGGTTGGAGATACAGAGGACATGGCCGGGTCAAAGGAACATGGAGACATAGAACGGGTAGCGGGGTCAAGGTAGGTTGGAGATGCAGAGGACATGGCAGCGTCAGAGGAACTTGGAGACATAGAAAGGGTAGCAGGGTCAAGGTAGGCAGGAGATACAGAGGATATGTTAGAGTCAGAGGAACATGGAGACATAGAAAGAGTTGTGGGGTCAAGGTAGGCAGGAGATACGGAGGATATGTTAGAGTCAGAGGAACATGGAGACATAGAACGGGTAGTGGGGTCAAGGTAGGCAGGAGATACAGAGGATATGTTAGAGTCAGAGGAACATGGAGACATAGAAAGGGTAGTGGGGTCAAGGTAGGCAGGAGATACAGAGGATATGTTAGAGTCAGAGGAACATGGAGACATAGAAAGGGTTGTGGGCTCAGGGGAGGTTGGAGATACAGAGGATATGGCACGGTCAGAGGAAAATGGAGACAAAGAACGGGTAGTGGGGTCAAGGTAGGCAGGAGATACAGAGGACATGGCAGCGTCAGAGGAAAATGGAGACATAGAAAGGGTAGCAGGGTCAAGGTAGGCAGGAGATACAGAGGATATGTTAGAGTCAGAGGAACATGGAGACATAGAAAGAGTTGTGGGCTCAGGGGAGGTTGGAGATGCAGAGGACATGGCAGCGTCAGAGGAACTTGGAGACATAGAAAGGGTTGTGGGGCCAAGGTAGGTTGGAGATACAGAGGACATGGCCGGGTCAAAGGAACATGGAGACATAGAACGGGTAGCGGGGTCAAGGTAGGTTGGAGATACAGAGGACATGGCAGCGTCAGAGGAAAATGGAGACATAGAAAGGGTAGCAGGGTCAAGGTAGGCAGGAGATACAGAGGATATGTTAGAGTCAGAGGAACATGGAGACATAGAAAGAGTTGTGGGCTCAGGGGAGGTTGGAGATACAGAGGATATGGCACGGTCAGAGGAAAATGGAGACATAGAACGGGTAGTGGGGTCAAGGTAGGCAGGAGATACAGAGGATATGTTAGAGTCAGAGGAACATGGAGACATAAAACGGGTAGTGGGGTCAAGGTAGGTTGGAGATACAGAGGACATGGCAGCGTCAGAGGAACTTGGAGACATAGAACGGGTAGCGGGGTCAAGGTAGGCAGGAGATACAGAGGATATGTTAGAGTCAGAGGAACATGGAGACATAGAAAGGGTTGTGGGGTCAGGGGAGGTTGGAGATACAGAGGACATGGCAGAGTCAGAGGAACATGGAGACATAGAAAGGGTTGTGGGGTCAGGGGAGGTTGGAGATACAGAGGACATGGCAGAGTCAGAGGAACATGGAGCCATAGAAAGGGTTGTGGGGTCAGGGGAGGTTGGAGATACAGAGGATATGGCACGGTCAGAGGAAAATGGAGACATAGAACGGGTTGTGGGGTCAAGGTAGGCAGGAGATACAGAGGATATGTTAGAGTCAGAGGAACATGGAGACATAGAAAGGGTTGTGGGCTCAAGGTAGGTTGGAGATACAGAGGACATGGCACGGTCAGAGGAAAATGGAGACATAGAACAGGTAGCGGAGTCAGGGTAGGTTGGAGATACAGAGGATATGGCAGAGTCAGAGGAACATGGAGACATAGAAATGGTTGTGGGCTCAGGGGAGGTTGGAGATACAGAGGATATGGCACGGTCAGAGGAAAATGGAGACATAGAAAGAGTTGTGGGGCCAAGGTAGGTTGGAGATACAGAGGACATGGCCGGGTCAAAGGAACATGGAGACATAGAACGGGTAGCGGGGTCAAGGTAGGTTGGAGATGCAGAGGACATGGCAGCGTCAGAGGAACTTGGAGACACAGAATGGGTAGCAGGGTCAAGGTAGGCAGGAGATACAGAGGATATGTTAGAGTCAGAGGAACATGGAGACATAGAAAGGGTTGTGGGTTTAGGGGAGGTTGGAGATACAGAGGACATGGTAGAGTTAGAGGAACAGGGAGACAATGAATGACATAGACAGACAGAAAGAGACAGACTGCATTTGCTTGTTAATAAGTCATAGTCCCTTTTTTGCAGTTTACGTAAGTGCCGTAAGTAGTTAACTCCCCTGCCGGCTCTTTAGAACTGCCTTGCCTCTGTAACCCCTCTGTTTCTTCCTCCGAAGAAGGTACAGAGGAGGGATGACTTTGTCCCCCCATTAAGCCCCCTTGACATTCAGATTGAAGGTGTTACGTCCAGGGGCATAAATATGGCAGCTTGAGATGGCAGTCTGAATATGACTTAAGAATGTTTATCCATGCTTTGGATCATCAGGGTTTTTTGTTTAAACTTAATTACCTTTAATTTAGTAGTTGTAAATATATTTCATTTAAGATGGCTTAAAGGCAACACCTATATGACAGGAATATTTCTTAAGCACTTACATGCTCTAGTGGGATTGTAAAAACTGATTTTATGTCAAAACAAATTTCAAGAAACAGCATTTTGCTATATTTCTTCAGAAGAAAAAAATTTGCTCAGCTCATCTTCAGTATTTTTGTTATCTTACTATATGCTTTTGTTAAACATTACCCATTCGAAAACTGCTCTGTTATTTTCTGATTAAAGCTTGGCTTGGCATTGATTCTGGTGTGTCAGTAAATCATTTGTTCACCTCTCACTTAAAGCTCTGCCTTATTCTTTATTCACAAGATAGAAAGTGGCAGAAAGATGGTGCCACTCTTCATGCATGTGCATTTCATAAAACAATGGAAAATAAAAATACACTATGCAACATCACAGTCAATTATCAATACTATGACACAGTGCACTGAATACCAAAATACTGCAGATATACTGCAATGTAGGATGGCCAACATAGGCAAATAATTGGCAACAGCTGAAATGTAAAAAACAACTATGAGAAAACACATGCAAAAGTTAATATCAAATGCATCTTTGGGAAATGAAAAACATGCCTGAAAAATGGTTATACACGCAGACTATGCAAATAGACAAACTAGGAGATATAAAGTAAGACTGACCTGGACAATAGAATGTATAAAACATGGATGTGTCAGTGATGTCACCAATTGGTTGTTGGACTGACATTTTTTGTAGCCAATGAAATTCTCAAACCATATGGCTGCTTCAATCATTACTTCGGGGTGATTTCTTCATGCAGACATGTAGGAGATTGTTTTAAAGTACGAGTGGTTTTCAGAACTGCATATAAGTAATAATAAGGTGTTATTTACACCAAGATAGGCTATGAGAGCCATGAATTATTTGGAGAAAACGGGCAAATCTATGTAAAATTAGACATTAAGTACTCCCATATAGTTGGAATGGAAAGATCCTTGTGCTGGAGACTTGCAGTTGACTGAGGCTCTGACGAACAAAAATTCACTATATGGGGTCACCCCTATCATAATGAGGCATCAGTATTAATTTCAGTAAGTTTCATAACCAGCTTAAAATTCCCCTCAGGAACATTAATAATATTGTAAAAAAAGTTGATGTGATTTTTAACGCTTACTAAGTTGACTCGAAAGGTTTCCTGCTGACAATAACTGTTTACTTGAATGTGAACCTTACAGGTTAAACTGAGACTAATGGATAGTGATAAAGATGTGTTGTGTGGTGATCAGATAAAACAAATTGAACCAATGATTCAAGTTAAGTTTCAAACAGCCAAATGTGATTCTTGATTAGGGTTGGAAAATGTCCATCCAAAATACCCTTCCAAGGCAGGCCAGCAGTTACATGATAGCACAATTGGTCCAGTCAATGTTTAACTACCTAAATCCAACTGCACAATGTTTTTATTCAGTGCTTCCTTCTAGATATAATCTCTAAGACAAGTCCAAATAAGGGCATGGAGCCTCTGGGGGTTTGCCCATGGCTCTGCTCTTAAAAATACCACTTCCTTCGAAATGCATTTGTAGCACTTTTCACTCGGAACAAAACACAGACCACAGCATCTGTAAGACGTCTTTCTCCATCAAAGCAGGTAGGATTTCTACTTGATTTAGTACATACCATAATAAAAAAAACAAGGTGGGGTTTTTCATTCATTTTAATTTAACACATCAAGCAAAATATCATCATGGGCAGAAAGATTGAGTAAATAAGTTGCATTGCATTTATATATATGGCTTAATTTATCAGTTTAAAGTTATGGCATGTGGATTTTGAAATAGCACTTAGCACATAAAATACTCCAATTTCTAGATGACATAAAGTTTTTTGTCGGACACAAGTATTGTATGAATAGCAGATAGAAATTACCTCTTGTCTTTGCCCCAAAAGTGTTTTTGTTTTTTTGCTATACAGAAGTCAAATTTTTTCCCGACTTCTTCAAGTTTTTAAAAATCTTTTCAACTGAAACAAATGTGAATAAGCCACATTGGAGTAAAACTCTATGCAACAGAAGCCACTGTGGCTGCAGGCATCAAGCAGGATAATGACACTGGGAATGTCCCTAAATTTCCCAAAATTGACATCACACTGCTTTGAAGATGTCCTCTTTCGGCAATAACTATGCCTCCAGGTTAGATACGGTGTGTTTGCTTCTTGAGCTCATTTGCTAAAGTTTACCAAGTCCAGATGTGTCCTTCTTTTCATGTGGCTAAATTGTTGAAATGCTCTGTTTGATAGAACTTATTTACCATTACAAAAGAAAAAAAGTACATAGTTTTATTATTAAAAAATGTAAAATTTAAGGTAATAAGAGACTCTGCAATACGGTGAAGACAATTAGGGCAATCAAAATGGAGAGAAACCAGACAAAAGGAGGAAGACAAGAAACACTGGGGACAAGACCTACAGGAAAAGCAGGAAACACAAAAGACACACAGAGAACTCAAGAATGTAACATTATTTATTGTGTGTCCGGTGCAAATGAATCTTCTCTACCAATGATCTGTCTATCTGTGATCTTTATTCTTGCAAGAAGGAGCAAACAAAACAGAGTACTACAGCAGTCTGGGAAAAGATCGAAGACGGCAAAGGGAAAACACACTTTTATACATTGTATCAAAAGGGAGGGGTGGAGATAGACAAACTCTGTTGTAGGGCAGATTAAGAGTTTGGCGCTAAACAAAGTCTAGGCAGTTTATGTTATTTTTTTTCAAAGAAAAGCAGAAGGTCACGTATAGGCCTCTGGTAAACAGGATATGTGTGGGCCAGGTGCGATTTGAACAGCGTTCTTTTAGCAAATGTCAAGCAATTATATCAGCATCACATCAGCAAAATTCATTTTCCATTACACAACACATACAGGACATAAAGAAACACGAGGAGAAGAAATAAAACAGGAAACTCTAAAGACGTAACAAGGTAAATGCACAGTAGCAATACACACAGGGAGAAACATGGATACAAATGACAAAATGAAATAGGAAGCACTAGAAATGTGTATGTGAGATTTACACAGGGATTAAATCAAGAGAAGGGATTAATGCAAAATAAAACAGGAAATTAATTCTAAACACTGAAATTAACAAAATATAAAACTAAACAAGAAAAAATCGTGACAATTTTATATATAACTGCAACCTTCAGTCCTTAGTGATGTTTTTCCAATGTTTTTAATGTTTCCTCAATATTTGTGTAAACCTAATATTAAATGTAGAAAAACTATAGGTGGCTGTACATGTAGCACATGGTATGTGGTGGAGAACCCTTAACAATGACATGCAGCAGTGAATAAACCTGTTTATTATCCTTTATGTTTGTTAAAAACAGATGGCTTTTCTCTCCTGGATGGCTGTAACGCTGGCTTTGTTGCTGCCTGTCGAAACCAGTTTGGCTGCAGTGGATCAAAACAAACTTGCAGACATTGTAGGGGAGATCATAAACAGGTGAATACTGTCTATGGATACATATTGGATGTCAGAATTTTATCACCATTCTCATGATAAAGACATTACAGGTTGACCAACTTAGTTCTCTCTCTCTCTCTCTCTCTCTCTCTCTCTCTCTCTCTCTCTCTCTCTCTCTCTCTAATATTTATATTAACTGAAGCATCTCACATTTTAAGCTTTATCACAAAGTACATTTTTGCAGTGACACTGATTCTTTGAGTTAAACAAGGCTGATATAGTTACATTTTAATAAAAATAAATATATAAGAATCAAACAAATTACCATAAGTTAAGAAGCCCACTTTACAGTTAAGATGTGTTACTACAACATCTGTGCATTATATTGTTATATTGGCTAACAAACATGTGACAGATGGTCAAGTTTTTTCTCAATTTCTCCATTAAGGAATCCGGGTGTTATTGCAACTGATGTAAAATATATAAAATCCAAGAAAGTAAAGATTGCCTGATTGAGGTACCTTCAGCTGTCTAATGGCTTTAATACATCTATGCTTCTGTCATAGTAGGCACGCAGAAGAGGACTGATCCATAGTAAAGTTGCCTTTGTATTCAGATTTCAATCTTTTCACAATATATCGTATAATGAAGAGACTAAACTGGAATTCAAATAAATACATTTGAATATATATAAAGTTGTTTTGTGTTAATTATCTCTATATGGTATAGTTTGTCCTTCCATCTATGAATCCCTCTAAACTGGATCAAATGATCAAACATAGCAATAACACATTGTGTTTTTTTTTTATTCAGGTTCAAACCAAGCTACAATGGTCGAAATGGTAACATGTAAGTAAAAGAAAAAAAAGTAAGTTAATCATAAAGCATTTCAGAATAAAAGCTTTGCTGTTTATTATAGCCAAGAAATGAAGCAAAAAGACAAGACAACAAAAAAATAAAGCACCACAGACCTACAAAGCACATTTTAATTTCCACATCACTCATTTCAGTGAAGCTATTCGATGCTTCCTGTGCCACGGTCCTTGTCCTTTGTCCTTGACAAACTCCCTGATTAGGGTGACTATACATCCTGATTTGACCTGGATCGTCGGGTTTTCATCTCAGTGTATCGAGTCAACACAAATATGCATAATAGAATATGACCCAGTTTTGAACAGTCACTCTCCTGGTTTTATCCAACCAAAATAACACACCATGCTTGCAACACTGATTTGTCTGTATATGTCAGTCAATCTTGCGGCCAAGGCTGTTGCTTATTTAACCAATATAAAAACGCACACACCAGACGCCGGTCAGCGCTGTGTCTGGACTGACATTGGCCATTAATGCCCTGGCAAGAAGGATTTAAGATGGGGTGCAAGCGGTGGTGAGGTCTCCCAATCCAAGCGTCCTACAGCATAGTAGCAGGGGAATGTAGAAGGAGGAGACTATGCAGAGGAGAACACTTGAGGAGATGAGCTGGGGGAGAGACACGCAACCCGCACAAGAGGAAAATCCCCACAAAAAATGTAATGTTCACTGTTAGGTGGGGGTTATTTCTGTATGAGATGGACAATTATGAAATCATGAAACAGACTGTGGATCATCTTAGATTTATTCAGCCATGGTCAGATAACACAGAAACAAACACACATGGCTGACAAAGTGCAGACCATCGCTGACCCATGCTGACCAAGATCTCACAATCATTGACAATCATTGGCAAAGTGGCCATCATGGGCAAATGGCAAAATGGCAAAATGGCAAAGTCTTCATCACACAGTGTGGCTTATATTCTGCTAGAAGGTACAGCCCACAAATTCCTTTCCATTTGGGTACATCACTATAAACAATAAAGATGACATGACACTGATTTGTATACGTAACAGATGTAGACTCTCTGTCTAGCAAACAGTTGCTAACAACATACAGTTGGCTCCTATCCATTTATAGATCTGCTACTACTTAGGTGCTTCAACATATAAGGTTACAGCTTCACAGACCAAAAGTAGAATTACTGTGAGGTGGTTGACACAATTTAAAGATATGTCCACAAAATTATCAAGATGAATGAATCCATGAAAATACGTGCTAACATTCACGAAAAGAGGGAAATAGGAAGACAAATATCAATGTTGATTTTCTTTAGGCTTCAACTAGCATAATAAATGACTCTGTCCAATGTTGCAATGTGGACACAGCCCATAGACATCATGACAACAGTTGAATACACATCCACATCCTCACATGCAAACATCGCTGAAGATGCTTGCAGAGTCACATTTGCACAAAATCTGCTCACATAATTGTAATGTTGTCTAAGATGTTGTCTGTATGTCTTAAAGGCAGAATGTGCAACATTTTACACATAAATACAGCAGAAATCAAGTATATCCTCTGTAAATGTCTCTCTGAGTCATGATATACAATGAGTATACAATGTGCTATTGTAACGTCGTTTATATCATGTCTACATGGACGGAAGGGCCTAGAGAAAAGAAGAATACCCTTGTGTAGAAATAAAAAGTCTGAAGTGAGATGAATAAACTGAGAATGTTTGTTTTGTGACAAAAAAGTTTTCATTTAGTTGAATTTTGTGGACATAATATGCAGTTGAAAAGAATAGAATCGAAATATGTTTTTGCAATATAATGTATTGCAATTCTCAGCATAGCAAAATGTTTAAAATCGCAATAATATCGCATCGTGACTCAATATTTGATAATATCGTATCATGGGGCCTATGGTGATTCCCACCCTTAACAGTTGCACTCAGACCTTCAGTGGGCGCCAAAGCACACTGAACCAAATTCCTTCATATTGCTGCTTTAATGAAATTAGATAAGAGGGTGTCAGGCTTCATTCTGTTTAAAGTCTCAGTATTTTCTGGGCTTAAGAGTCCAACTTTTGTTTACGACAGAGCTTATTTTCCTCCATAATCCAACTTTATATACAAAAAAACAAACCTTTTGCTTTTTATCAACTGAAACAGGGTGATGCTAACATCTGGGGTGGCTTACAAAATGCATCATCCGTGCAACGCACGCTTTATGGATTTACTGTTTATAATAACACCTGGTTTTGTGTGTGTATCTGCTTTCTTTGACAGGAGATATCCATGTTCAGTGTGGCTGTAAGCATCCATACAACCAAGAAATAAAAAAGTACGATATCAGTAAAGTGACGGACACTGGTAATGATGTGCGGGAAACAATTCTCAATTGTAAAGTCTACAACAGCTTGAGGGTGGTCGCAGCCACAGTTCTGAGATGGCCCAACGTTCTGGATCAGTGTCCTAATGAAACTGTGCAGTGGCCTGATGTTCTGAATAAATGTGGCAATCTGACTTGGTTTCAAGTAAATGAAAGTGCAATGGTACAGTCGATTTGGTAGAGCTGATCATGCGGAGTACCGAATTCTTCAGCACTTCATCGACTTCCAAAGTCTGAACAAAGATGATTTGTTAGTTTTCTATGTTCTTGCTTCACCATGTGATAAACAATGCACAAACAAATTGAGTCCTAGGAGCATTCTTCGAAGTATTAAGGTGATTCAGAAATGGAAAAACTATGCTTTTGTGTTTTCAGATGTGTTCAAACCTCGTAGTGGGGACGAAATACCTGAGGAGGACCGTAGACAAGCCCTTGAGCGGCTTGGTAGGTCAATTGGTCTGGAAAACATATTTCGCTGTACACGACAAGGTACAATGCAATGTACGAGCTGCTCTCGTGATAATACAGTGGCACCCTATTGTTTTTCATATGAATTCAGACGAGTTCAGGGAAGCAGAGGAGGTGGCAAGGTCAGTAGAAGGCATGAATGGGGGAAAATGTAAAATAGTGACAAAGATGACCGTGTAACCTTCTCACAAAGTGGCAATGAGGTCAGTAATACAGATGATGAGGATAATAAAGGAGAAGGCAGGGGGCAGTTACAGCCGAGCAGACTTGGTTTATCCTTGCACATCCCAAGAACATTTTAATTTCATCTTTTTGAATTCATTTTGACCTTATTTTGATCTGGCAGTGTGCTTCAGCTTTGAATGCAGGTTCATGTTTCACAGGCATAACCAAGACCTAAACAATGATTTGCTATGCTTCATTTATTTTTGACAATACGCAGATAAATATGATGTTAACAGCCAAGGCAAAGAACTGAATAAAGTTTTTTCAGAGTTTTCGATTTTGACTGTATGCATTCACATGTAATGGCTTTTTAAACAGTGTACTATATGGAGGGTTTAATTATTATCAATCATTTATCCAATTATTTTATGACTTTAATCATTACTTTTTTATATGATCTGCCTTTTTTTATTTAATTGTTTCTTTTTACATGTGTTATAGAGGAGTATGAATGTATTTACATAATAAGTTTTGTGTAATCCTTATTTTAGGAGTTATGTGCTAGTGCGAACAAGGCTGTAGATTAAGATTTCTGGACTCAAATTGATCAAAATAAAGATTAACATGGATGTTTGAGGCACTTTAAACTCTGAATTTGCTGTACAAGGGTAATTGTAACAGAACTCCTTTAGAGCATCACGGATGCTTCTACTAGTGTTTTAAAACTTGGCTTTGCATTTGATTCTGATCGTCAGTGTGTTGGTCTTCTGGGAGCTCCTTCATATAGCAAAGACTCCACAGTCTTCACATGGACAAGCAATCTACTTTTAATTTCACCTTTTTCATTGTAATCACTTTGCTGCTTCGGCACATAACCTTAACCCAAAATAAAAACATTGAAGACTATTGTGTTAAATTTTTTTTGTTAAAAACAGTTTTAAAGGGTCAGGTGTACCGGGGCAGGAGGGTGATAGCTGCAGCACAGCCAGGGGTATTGTCACATCTTCTAGACAACATAGAACCCTTCATTAAAAGCAGTCAGGGTAACTTCCTCAGCATTAACTCTGAAAAATCCCAGAGTGGACCAACAATTCTGAATCCTTCCAACAACTTGACGTTTCTAATAATACACCATCAAATCAGGAAGCAGATGAGGAAATCAGTCCAGTCCCAGCAGCAGGTACAGACACGGGTGAACAAATCGATTTTTTTCCTCAACTGTTTATAGGTTCTTGTTTTAAATTACACATATATTTTTATCCCTGCATGGGTTATGTACATTTCTTGTATAAGTCTATTTTTAATTGCACAGTTTAAGTTTGATTCATCTAGGGGGATTCATTAAATCTTTTTTTCAGGTTGATATATATGTATGGGAGGGGGGCGTCAGTTTTGTGGTTTAATTTGTAACAAATGTTTCATGTCATGTACGTCTGTGTAACCTGCTACTGGATGCTTTGAATTTCCCTCGGGATCAATAAAGTATCTATCTATCTATCTATCTATCCATCTATCTATCTATCTATCTATCTATCTATCTATCTATCTATCTATCTATCTATCTATCTATCTATCTATCCATCTATCTATCTATCTATTGAATAGGAAAAATGTTTTCCCTTTGAATTTCTCTTTGGAAACTATCATCAAGTTTTTGTGTGAAAATGCTAGTATTACTAACCATAATAAAACCTAATAAAATTCAAGTTGCTTTTCTAGGCTAGGCTACATGTAAAATAGGGTTTTTATATGTCCTGCTTTATTCTGAAGCCATGATTTCAATCATACCTCCTAAGAAGTCATTGCAGTTTTAGTGACACAGCAATTTAGTATGGAGAAATATTTACAGTCATTGAGAAAAACAGGAAAAATCAGCAATAAAACGATTCCACCAGGATAAAACTACAATTCCCAGGGTACCGTTTCAGACCGAACTTCACGTGATATGCTCCATGCGCTTCACGTGACCCTAGTCAGAAGAAACAATGGCGGATGTTGAAGCTTCAAAATCTCTGAGCGGACTGTTGAATGGAATAGCTCAAAACGTTTATTACAACAACAGTGAGATCACAGAGGAGCTGCTGAAGAATGAACTATTCCCCGAGATGGTGCAGGAGGAGTTCAAGGCGTTACACGAGAAAATGAAAGCCCTCCTTAAGGTAACAGAACAACTTCAGAGCACAAGTGTTAGCCTTAGGTTTTTTAAATGAAACACTTGCGTTAACAGTGAAACGATATTATTGAAGGTGCAGACACAAATATATGATTATAACATTTCAACATTTCACATTGACTCTGGGGTTAAACATTTAGCAGAAGCTAAAGCCAGTGTCTTATTGTGAGAGAGCAACAACAACAACAACAACAACAACAACTGTAAAATCCAGTCTATTAGAAACAATCAGTAAGCAAATAACATTTTATCAAATACAGCAAGTTTGGATTCATTAATGAAAGGACAACTACATTAGCTGACAGTTAAATGCATCTAAAACGAGCAAAGAAAGGTGTAACAAGGAAGTTACAGGGCAAGGGAAATGTTTTTTTTTTCAGTAAAGATTAGGGTTGTGCAAAGGTAAAGCTGTGGTAATGACCACAAAAAAGACCTGCCTAACAGAATAGATGTTGTAAAACTAACAATGAGTCTCACAACAAGTCAGCTTAAATAACAGTTTGTCCGGATGTTTTAAAAGTAGGAGTTTATTCTGCATTGTTAAAGTTCTCAGGTGATGGTTGATCACTAACTTTTGTGTTTTGGGTATACATCCATAAGACTGTCCTTAATTTAAACAATTGTTCAGACTGATATTTTTTGAGTTGGACTGTTGCTGTGTGTCTCACCTCTTGTCAGCAGGGGGCAGCAGAGACACACACCTGTTATCACTGTAGTTCCACTATTTATATCGTTGCTGCGCTGTGTGGCCTGCACAGAGATCAAGATTCAATCAGGCATTTACATTTATTTACAATGCAAATTCTAAACATATAGGCATTTCAGTCCTTTAAATCTTAATAAAGTTGAAGACGTAACAAGTTGGATAATCCTTTATTTATCCCACAATGGGGAAATGTACATTGTTACAGCAGCAAAGATTGCAAACAAAAAGTGAACACAGTACAATTTAAATAAAAAAAATAAAAATTAAGAATGTACTAAAAAATAGATCAGCTATTTGACAAAAGTGTAGTCCGAACATCAGCAGATCAACAATAGAACTGCCTTAAGTGCATACAAACACAATATCCATTTGAAATCTACATAAAAAGCCAAAATTATGTGCAAATTATTATGAATATTTAAAAAAAAGGTAATAACTGAGAAAAACTTTACTCCATTGAAGATTGTCATTTCGGTTTCAGGCAAAAGTCACAAGGGTAGCTAGTTTTTGATTTTCACCTAGAACACAACTCAAAAGTAAAAGGATGTCTGATGTTTATAATTTGTATACAAATACTTTTTCCCTAACTTGTTGATAACTAACAGTTCACTCGTATAGACATGTTGCAGACTGAAATTATATAAAACATTATTTGTGATTTTTTTCTAATATAGAACAATTTCTTTGAGGTCTCAGTTTTCACTCCAACTCATTATGTTTGACACATACAGTATAGCCCCACTAGAACTACTATCAGTAATTATATTGTCTTCCAAAATGAAAAAAAAACACAATGCACACTATTTTGTTTAAAGTAAAAGTATGTTTAAAGATGGCTATTGAATTGCTAAAGGCTTGAACAATGCATGGTAAAAAAAACAAGCTGAGTAACAACTAAGATATAGCAGAAAAACTTTTTCTGGTGCAACTTTTTTAAGGTGCAGCCCTCAGCACACATTATCCTAAAATAAATACCACATAATGTGGCAACCATGGGTTTGCAAGACTTGCAGATATCCTACTTTGTGGTGCGCATTCTTAGCTGATCCTCCTCTCTTTCATCACTTAGTCAATTGCAACCGCCGACATGGACCACGCCCAGCTAGAGGCCTTTCTCACAGCGCAGACTAAGAGGCAGGGTGGTGGCGGGGTGACTGCTGAACAGGCTGCAGCCCTCTCTCGCTTCTGGAAAAGTCAGCGTGTCCGGGTGAGGGAGAGTTTGGTGGCTCAGAGCCGCTGGGAGCCCGGCCTCAGGGGCCTCTCTTGGAGGGTGGACCTCCAGACTGCAGCCAGTCGGGGGGACGCACTGCACAGCGGGCCGGTTGCTCTGATGGAGCTGGAGCTGGGCAGAGCCGGAGAGGTGAGACCAACAGCCATTGTTTTGTCTGACAATCATTCAGATTCATAGGCTCACACATCAAATGATGTCATCAGTACAACCCAGTCATCAAATGCAGCATTTAGAGTGACCATCATCCTTTAAAACACACATGGGCATTAAGACATTTTACAATAAATCCCCATTTTTGTAAACTTTGGCAGAGAATTTCACCTCTTGGTTTGCGCCCATCTATAGTGTTTTAATAGTGGTTCACTCAGACTGACAATGCTGTGGTTCGTCTCGTCACTAGTGATAATTTGGACCTGCAAAAACTTGATAATGAACCACATTCAGACAGATTCTTAAGGGGAATTCAAGTGATTGTAAACCTAAATACTTTATATATTCTTGTTCCTATAATGCAAGATGCAGGTCACCAAATATAAACACAAACAAAAAGTCATTGACTGAAATTCATTTAAAATCTCTCTGATTGGGACACATTTTCCTCATTTGCCAGGTGTCAGAATAGTTTCAAATATGTTTGAAGTCATTTGACCCTACTTTTTAACTTTATTGATTATTTTCTTCTTTAAATACTCTGGAGTTTCCCAGGCATTGTTTAAGGCAACAATCTAAGCCAGTGTCCAATTCTGGGTTTAAAATGAGCTCCTGTCATCCACCAAGTAAATGAATTATTTATTATATATAATATAAAACTGTCAGTAGATAATATGTAATGGGATTACAACATTTTAAAGTAAATAAATGATATTATTCTCATTATAAATAATATTTACACTAACTTGAAAACTCCATATTTTGAATTATAAATCAAGGATGTGAGCTACTAGCCAACTAAACGATTAAACGTCATCACCCATGTAAGCGAGCACTTAAAATAAGAGTCAGTAAAATCATCGATGATTGCAACCCTGCTGTATACTAATGTAAATGAAATAAAGGGAATCTTCCTGATGGAAGACGTGTATACTGTTTTAACTCTGTTGATAGCACTGACATTATTTTGGTGGTTGGTAAAGATTTCAGTGTGTTAGAAGGTCTGGGACCGGATTACTGGCCTGTTTTGGTAAGCTCCTGTCCCACGAGAAGGCTAAATTTAGTCAATCTGGGTCCTGGACTCAATAAAGTTTCAGAGCCAGTGGATACCAGTGCTGAGAGGGTGACCTTGATTTCACAATCAAATCTATTTGTGCAGAAAAGGAAACCCAACTGAGGTCACGGTTTTAAATTTGTAACCACCATGAAATAATTTGTTCAGGTACTGTAACAAAGTCTTCATGGACATGTTGGGGATGGAATATACTGTATTTAGTCCATGTTGTTTTCATTTCATCTTGCACATGAAAATAATAGCAATCATTAGATGACACTAGGCATTGTATAGAGTCACTATACCTCAACTAGATGTCACATCATGCACCTAGTTGGGATTCTGAAGAATAACAAACAGTGGAGCAGATCTGATTGATGAGGTAATGTTAGCTATTAGCATTACAACTAGCCCGCCGACAGGAAGGCATGTCCTTCTTCACCATTACTTTAAACTTTCACAAGTTAACCAGAGCTAACCATCACCAAGAACCACTATTCATCACCAGTGAGTGTCCAACAATACATTCACAACCAGTGAGGACAGTATGACAACAGCCTTCCTAGGAGTTCACTCCATGTTTATTATCTACCTGGTTGACTCTTTGATGCTCAAGGGATCGCTCGTACCAGTTGATGGCAGTGTTTAAGTCATTCAAATGCATTCTTTGCACCAGCAAGGACAAAAATGAAACAATGATTTTTTTTTATCATGTTTGGTTTCATTTGAATTTGGGAGTTAAGAAAAAAAAGACTTACTTAAAAATGTGTTACTTGAAAAGACAGAGTTTTATCAAAACCTTCAACCAATCCATCAAAATGAAGGAAGCCACACGAAGCGCTTGAACTCCTCTTGCCCCCTCAATCCATGTTTCACCCTCCTCCCCTCTGGCTGCAGAAACAGAAAAACATGTTGGATTGTTGGGCAGCAACAACAGAGTGGGCGACTCTCTTTACAGGCCCACAACACCTTGGAAGAGCCACCCAACATAGACCCCATCTACATGTATGAGTGGTCTAAGAAAACCTTATAATGTCCCAAAGGACTGGTTCAAAAAACAGATTTGGTATCAATAGCTCAGTTCTTTATTTCAACACACTGAACGAGTGCCAGTTTGTTTTAAATTGAAATCGTCCATTTTGATTTTATTGAGCCTCAGAGTTTTTCACTGACAGTTGGACGTTTTGTATCTGTCCGTCAGGAGGTTTAAGGTCTGCCTCAGCTCTGTTCTTAGCTTGGTCAAAAGTTACATAGAGATAGTGTTTCCAACATAGCTTTCGCACATTGGGCTTCATATCACCTCCTCAGAACCCAGTGGGTGACATCACTGAGACTACTGTCCATGTTTTATACAGACTATGGATTGAGTGAGAACACTGTTATTTTGAACTGAGCAGTTCTTGATCATTTGTTGTTGCATTAATCCTGTCAATGTGGAAAGTACACCAATATACTTAATATTGTGCAGTCTGGACACTGCTTTCACAGACAATAGTTTAAGAACTGGATGATGGGAGGTGGATACGTGGATTATATTTTCTGACTATGCTGGGGAAGATTGATTGGTCTAGAACTGGTTAAACTCTAATCTGAATGTTTATGTAGAGCTAAATGTTATCATTTCATTTTCTAGGGTAAATGATTGAAAGATTGCATTTCATTGATTGGTTTGTAAAATGCTATGGACCCAGATGGACCAAGTATTATTTTTTCGTTGTTATCCGATACAACATTATGGATTTTGTGTGCAGATAGATATTTTGAGTATGCTGACCACAAGCAGAACCTCCGTATGAAGCTTAGAGGTGAGCTTAATGATTGTTATATAACTTGCTTGATAGCTTTCAGAGAAAAATGGTGGCAGTTTGAATATAGTCAATGGAAACTCTGCAAGCAATCATCACTCTGTGTCAGGGGGCGTCAGGGGTGTCATGCAAGTCAAAATGGGAAGAATGATACCTTTTTCTGCATTCTGAAACATATATTATCAAATGCATATAGGTTCTTATTTAGCTATCAGAGGAAAACTTCAAACAAATCATGCAAAATCCCCCATACCCTAATTACATCATAATTTTACTATCGCTACTACTTTTCCCAAATTTCTTCCTTGTCCCTGCTAAACCAACAGAATTATTGTTGTAGTTTATCTTTATCAGGTGCAAAATGATTTCTAACTTTCTACATTTCATGTTTACATGATAGCCATTCAGCCACTCTGTGAGTACCTGCTGTTGTGAACCAATCTCATGCAGGTGGAATCCAACTACAAGGAAATGTACAGGGATATTATACAAAAAATAAAGTTTTCAAATAATATTAAGATAAGAAAGAAAATCCTGTCGGACTTTGAATAGGCATGACATGCCTGCTGTGTGTTGTCCATTTTTTTAAATAGACATAAATAAGTTTTATGTGATTTGTAATAAACACAATGCAGGTAAGTTACGGGAGTTCATGCCGCTGATTCAAACTAGAGCGAGGCTTATCAAAAACACAAAACCTGAAAAAACTACTTAACAGTACAATGTAATTTAGTTCAAAGTAATTCTTACTAACATACTTAAGTATCTCCTTATCCCCCCCCCTCTGTCAGGACTCAGAGTTTGTGTGTCTGGAGTTCGACGAGGCCAAAGTGAACCAGGTACTGAAGAAGATGGCCAACATCCAGAAGAGCATAGACAGCGTGGTTCAGCGCTCATAAAAAACGGAGTGACATTTTATCCCAGTCAGCAGAGAGACAGTGAGGTGTGATTCTGACTGAGAGACAACTCAGGTATTACCTGCAACATGAGGGGTGTTTCCTCCTGATTCCTGTTTGTCCTGTTTAACAGCCTTGTTCAGAAGTGGGACATGTTCAGATCTGTATCACTCCAGAACTGATCCAACAGACTCAGACTGAAGATATAGTTTATATTTCAACATGTTCCAGATGTTCTAGAAGGTCTGGGCTGCTCCTCAGATGTTATATCTGGGGATCCTTTACAGTCTCTCTCTGATAGGATTAATGTTCCTCTCTGTCCACAGCAGCAAAAATACATTACTGGTGTTGTAGGAGAGCATGGGTGCGGCAAAGTCACAACGATTGGAAATGAAGTTGGAGATGGGATTTTTGAATCAAAACAAAACACAAACAGTCTTATGTTTCATTGTAAACCAGCGAGGATGGTACAACTCTTAACTTTTTACCATCAGACTAAAAATAAATTCAATTATTGGGGGGTGTATATAATGCAAAGGATTCAGGGAATTTAAGAATTACAATTAATTGAACTGTGTTATTTTTCTGTATAAATCGAAAAGTTGTTTTGATCTATAAAACGTCAAAAAGGTCATATCTTCTTTTGTCAGTAGGAACTCCAAAAATATTGAGTTTAATTAGATATAAAATCAAGAAAAGATTATACGTCTTTCATTGTTCACTTTTGAATAAAAATGACTTCCATTTTTAACCAATGAAGAAATAGTTGGTATTTTTTGCATGAGTAAGCTAACTGCAGCTAATGTAATTGTACCCCACAATATATCTGTAACATACGAAAACAAAAAGGTGAACTGATTAAGGCAGAGCTAGACAAATAACTCCCATCTACTTTAAAGTAAAATCAGCTCTGTAGAGACCCTCTCTTTAATGCCGTCAGAGCCTCTCAGTGAAAAATCATTCATTTGAACAATACTGCCAGCGTTGTGGCCTTTAGATTAAAACTTGACTAGCGCACAATTCAGTGAATGAATATTAATTTAAGAAAACGTTGTTGGTTTGGGTCTGTGTTCAGAGAGGAGGCTACATTCATTCAGAGCTGGACAAGATGATGAGCTTCCTGGTTCAGGTGACAAATCTTCCTCTGGTGATGCAGGATTACAACCCATCACAAGCGTATGCCTGCACATGATTGTGATCTCATGTATTGTATACAGCATTCCTTTACAAACAAATCTGTGCCAATTAAGATCTAAAGCAATGGTGAGATTGAGGCAAACTGCAAAATTTAGAGGTTTGCCTTGATTTTTTTTTATCCCAAATTGTATTTTTCATGATTCTCTGTTTTTATTAAATACTGTAAAAAAGTTAATACAACCATAAATGCAACAATAACTAAATGTCTGGAAACCCCCTCATGTATAAACAGGATTATTCAGACCTTTGAGAGAATAAATGAAGGGTTTGGGCATCTTTCTGTCTGTTCTGAAGTTTAACTGAGTTTAAACAACTGTGAGGTGGACAAAATCACTGCACAATGTACGTAAATATCTCTTTGTCTTTGTCATGAATCAACCTTATGACATCAATAGACTTTGATCGCATGTCACAACATCATTTCTGATCACGGTTTAAGTCCGCCTGAGACATCAGTTAACAATTATCAGGCGTGTTGAGGCCCAGCCGGGGTGGGGACGTTATCATACACCTGGGATAAAACCGTCTCCACATAGGAACAAGTAGCACTGAGTTAATCTTTGTCTTGATTGTAAACTAAGCCCACAATTTGTTTGGCTGCTAGAATAACTATTATTATTAAGATAACTGAAGCATGACAACGAGCTTTAGTGTTGAATTCTGATTTATTCTCAAAGTCCATGTGTCTGACAAAATCATCAATAAAACACTGAAAACTCAAAAGCCAAACAATAACACCAACAAGCTAAAAGATTGAAGGTCAAGTAGAACAGCAATCCCCATGTTTTTTTTTTTTTAAGTTTGAACTACTTTCACAGTAATAAATGAACTTGCAAAAGACAGGAGTTGTTGCTCTGCCACTGTGTCAATTTGTTAGTTTTTAGTGTTATTCTGAGTGAAAAATATTGTGTTCCATCAAAAATACAAAAAAGATAGAAGTGTTTGTCCATTTGATTAAAAAAAATATATGCTATTATGGGTGCTATTGCTATTAAACTCAAACAAAGAGCAAACATATGCAAAGTCCCTAAAGTTAATTTGAATAATTGTATTCTAAAGAAAATACATTAAATGTTTATTTTCCTTAGAGAAGCTGTTGACATCACATCTCGTCTGGTCTGGTCATACAGTTTGGCACTGACATCATTTGAATTTCATCTGTGACATACATCATTTGTTTAACCTCTCCTGGACAAGAAAGGATGCAATTTTATAGGTGTCTTCTTTGGCTTCCCTTGTGAAACCATGAGGCTAAGTCTAGCTTTCTTAAACAAGATCTATGGCTATAAATGACTTAAAGTTTTTCACTATATTTTTTATAATTTCTCATTTCAACCATAAAAACACATTAGGAAGATGTAGTGTTTATGCAAAACTGTATGCATATGGGTTGCTGTATAGATCAGAGCAGAGATATATTACATTTTGATGGTGGAGAGAAGAGAGATGGTGTTCATGGGACTAAAATAACACAGTTGAGACTTTTAGAAGCCCCCATTCAACCTGAGGGCGGAGTCACTGCGCGCGCATCACAGGAGAGACGCACACTTGAACAGTTGGGACCTTTCTCCACAACGTGAATACAGGATGTCACTTAGGTGATTTTCGGATTGATGAGGACTGGGGTTTATACAGTTTATACCTAAATTAAATCGCGCGCAGATGTACAGAAAATAGGTCACTCGGAGCAGACGGAAGGTGTTGTTGTAGTTCAGGTGAAGCAACTTGATTTCACAAGGACGGCTGGAGGGGCTGAACTGAGAGGTGAGTGTGCAGCAAAATGACCTGACTCGGCTTTAACGACACACCATGTATTTTTATTGGCATTTAATTTGGACTCATCAGACTCTTCAGCAAAACAAAAGTAAACTAAACCAAAAGTAGATTAACACAGTTTGACTCTGACGCCTGTTGGTAGGAGACAGAAAAAAAACTTGACATGTCGGAAGAATAGAACCTTTATTCATAAGTTTATTAAAAACATTGATAAAAGTTCTTCAACTTTAGGTATTGAGTATAAGATTCAGATTCAGAGTTTTTATTGTCCCACAAGGGGAAATTTACGTTGCAACAGGAGCACACAAGAGACAAGAAAAGACAAGAAACATAAGGACAACATCACCATAAAACATAAACCAAAACAAATTTGAAGAATCAGACAACACAACAAGATATAAAAACAACGCAATATAATCAGAATGGAAATTCAAGTTATTAAAGTGCAAAGTGGAGGTGTGCAAATGTGCAATTCAAGTGCAAAAAGAGCAACAAATACCTAATTGTTGTTTAACATATTAATTGCACTTGGTAAAAATGAGACCTGGAGTCTTTTAGTCTTCCTCACTGGAGCTCTAAAACGACGTCATGCGGGTAAAAGGTCAAACTCACTGTGAAGTGGGTGATCTGGGATCACAAGCATGGCCCTAGCTTTCCGCGTTCAAATTAATGATGTGTAGTTCGTGAACGATTCGTTCAAAACGAAGAAATCATCTGGGTGAACGAACTGAACTGAATCACTTACTGAAAAGAGTTGTTCATTTCTCAACTTAAGTTGCGCTCCCCTCTCTCCCATCTCATGTCTCTCTCTCTCGAGACCGAAAGAGTCGCTCAAAGCCCGCCCTCCCTCCTCAGTCAGTACTGTGTGTGTGTGTGTGTGTGTGTGTGTGTGTGTGTGTGTGTGTGTGTGTGTGTGTGTGTGTGTGTGTGTGTGTGTGTGTGTGTGGGGGGGGGGGCTGGCGTCGGCGTCTCGCTTGTTCTCGTTCAGTCAGTGTTTCGTTCACTGAAGGAACTGAGAGGAAGAGAGTGACTCGGAGGCGGAGCTCACTATTCTCAGTACGATCGCGAGCAGAACTAAATGTTCGGCCGTGTTTCAGCTTATTAAATTCTGATTCACAGACAGAGCTGCGGAGAAGTACTGAACGATTCGGTGAATGAATCACTTTACTGAACTGATTCTACTGATTCAGTACACTGAAAAGAACTGCTTTTCCCATCACTAATTCAAATTGTCCCTCCTATCTCCTTTCACTATCCACTTTACCTTAACCCCAGAAGCATTTAAGTGGAGGCCATGATAAGAGCCGTTCGAATTCTCTAAAAGTTAAGGGAAGGTGGGTCAATGCTTCCTTTATAACCTCCTTTAGCATAGGATACACTGGACCATCCTTTATGAAAGGAGATGAGATATGACGCCCACAATTCCTTGCGGCCGCAACATTTAAAGCGAGTCGTGCATCCGACCGTTCACGGAAATGAACGATGATCGTAAAGTGACACAGGTCATGTAAAGGATAAAAAGATAAGAGACATTTTTATCAGATCATGTTTTAGTCAACGTATTTCATTCACTTAAGAATGCTTTGTGCAGTTGTACATTTGTATTCTTAAAACATTATGTGTAGGTTATATCTTGCATTAATGTGACAATTGATTTCATACAGTCATATTTATTTTGATTTCTGATTGGACAGGAAGGTGATGGTTTCACTTTTGTTACTTGTAGCCTGGTAGTCTATATTTCTTTTATTTCAAGCCCAACCTTGTGGTAATTAGGATTATTTCACCGGTAAGAAGCCACAGAAAAAGTTTTTCAGATTTTTTAGATTGTCAGAGCAACGAGATCGCCTTTCCCTAAGTCCTTTATGAATTCTCCTAACATCCTTCCTTAACCTCATGACGTTTTCCCCGGGGTTAAGGTAAAGTGGATAGTGAAAGGAGATAGGAGGGACAATTCGAACGCACCCAATGTCAAAAGCCCAACCTGACACCTCCCTGAGATTCTACTGCTTGTTTTTACAAGTCTCCCAAGTCTATTGTTGTTTGACAAGTTCAGGCTTCCATACCATGCAGCAATGCAAAAATGTAAAACAGATTCAATAAAAACTTTTATAAAACAGAGTCATCATCTCCGTAGAAACATTAAAAAGAGTTCATCTTTCTTAAGAAAAACAGTCTTTGTTGAACCTTCATGGAGGTAGCGTCAACATGATTTTCAAAACATAACCTATTGTCCAGAACAACACCCAGATATTTGTAGCTTTCCACAATGTCAGCTGATTTGATACCAGTTGGTATTTGGCTTGGTGGGGACTTTCTAAAATCAATGATCATGTCTTTAGTTTTTGTCACGTGGAGAAAAGATTCGTCACACCAAGCCACAAAGTCATCCACAACTGGCCCATGACCCTGCTCTACCACGTAACTATCGAAGGAACAACTAAGAATAATATCCACGTCTTGCATCACAAGTGACATCTACAGTAATTCTAATTCATTAGATCCAGGATTTGAAGAAGTTTGCATATTTTTGATGAATGTCAAAATACCACACTTTAAAAATATTTCATGTCAAATTCTTCAAAAACTTAAGTCAAGTACTAATTATTATTAAAATGTAACTGTATTTCCAGTTCCAATTGCAGATTGGCCCTTTAAATTGATTTTAAATGTGTGTAAATTAGTTTATAGACCTGCAGCTTGTTAGGGTGGAGCACACATTGTTTTATTTATAGTAATTCTGTAGATAAAAATGTAAGTTAAGTTAAAGTAATTGCACCGGAGAAAACATTGAGAGATTAAATAGTTGCTTAAATAATAATCTTCTCAATCAGGATATTTGTGTAAATACAAGTTGGTCAATAGTTGGCATAAGAAAAAATAACTCTGCTTATAAATCAAAAAGAAAAATGCAGCAATGTTAAGCTTTTATAGCATTTATACAGAAAGAAATTCCGTTTTTGTCTTGTCAATCAAGTTTAACCCACATGCTCAAACATAAATCAGAAGATCACACATTGTAAATAAAAAATATTTTGTAATGACAGAAATAATTGATCTTTTACTTAATTGAAGTACACAATAGTTTCTTTTATATTTGCTAATTTTGTCCTGTACATGGGTGGGCCTTTTTTATGTATTTTTTCTAAAGTCAAATGTATCACTCACCAGTGATGTGTCTGAACGTGCTAGATGAGTGATGAGTTTTTATTTTTGGTGAAGGGTGAACTGAACAAGTCAATTTGAAGTACGTATAACAAGAAGGTGAGAGTATAGCTCATTCTGGAGACAGTGAAGGACAGTTCACTTACTTACTTATCGAGAGTAGTCGAGCACTGTGTCCCGGAGTCTGACATGCGGCATCTGTCACGCAGCCAACTTGGCCCCGGTATGCCTTTCAAAGTAAAAGATGTGTCAGTTTATTTTATGATTACACTTCCTGCATTTTCAGGACAGCTCCTGAGTGAATGAACACTTTCAAATCTCTTTAGCTCTTTCTTGAGGTCCCTGATAAATTTCCTTTAAAACAAAAATAGGCCATATGCTTTGTTAATATTAAATAAAAAAGAACTGGGTTGCGACAGTATTTACTTTCTCATTCTCTCCCGCCCTTTCTGCCTCTGCCTCTGCCTCTAACTCCCTCTCTCTTTCTTCTTCTCCCTCAGCATTCAGGTTTTTGTTTTTTTCTGCACCTGTATGTTAAGTCCTTGTTTGTATTGTAAATCAGATGTGTTTACAAAAGCCCAACCCCCAAAACAGGTAGAATAACTGAAACCACCTCTGTGTAGGTAAGGCAAACAGCCTCTTGAGTGAGATGATTATTATGTATATTTTCTTTTATAGAACTGATCACTATGATATTTATTTAACCATTACATTTTCAGAGTTTTTAGTTTATGGCTTTCATTTGGGGTGAAAGCATTGAACAATGTCTGCAAGAAGGGATGATAATAAAGAAAGCTATACTAGCTGAGTGCAGAAAAAACAAATAGACGAGTAAACTAGTTCTTTTCTTGGACTGTGAACTTCGTTCAAACATTCAAATTGTGAACTGAAATGAGAACTAGTTCATCTTTATCTATAAATAAATTGAACTTTGAGCTAGCTGACTCACTGTGAATATTTTCTGTGCAAAATGAAAACATTACTGTTTTTTCAGCGTGCTGTTAATCACCTTGTCTGACTCACTGAGACAGAGATTACAAGCATTAAAAGGTCACTTTGCTCATTTCAAGGTTGTCATGAAATGTCACATTTTGTGCAAATCAAACATTGAACATGGCTGTTCACAATAGGAGGCGCTATGACCAACACCAAGTGATACATGCGTTGATGCATTTTAAGTTTGAGAGAAACTTCTTCTTTCCACTAGGTGGAACTATGAATTAGAAAAAAATGCAGTGAGTATGACAGAATATGCTGAACTGTTCATGCTGGCACTGTCATTATCTTTCAAATTTGGAGCAAAAAACTTACTGTATACAAGAGTAAGCATCGCCTCTGCCAGGACTGTCATCAAAATCTGGAGAAGAAATTACATTTTATGAGAGTTAATACTGTCTACTCCAAGAGAATGCATTATGCCTAATGTAGTTAAATATTGGCGTGTAAATGTGTTCGAGGGCAGACCGTCATCATACATATGACATTTTGAGCAGATCAAACCTTTTTTAATGGGGGTTAACAACTACTTCCTGTTTCTAGTTGAGACATCAAATCTTTCCGCATCAGCACAGAGACATCCTTCAATGAAACCTCTCGGTCTTACGGCGAACATGTTGAAGTTCTTAGGTTTCTAAACACATCTGAGTACAGTATGTTCAACAGAGTAAGAGGAGTACATGAAATTGTCATTTCTAGGGGGCGCTATGACTATTGCAAAATATTTGCATGTTGTGGACAAGCCAGGACTGTTGTAGTACATGTAAAGTTTGAAGAAGATAGAATGTTATATTTGAGGGTTACAGTTAGTTTGGGTCACACAACAAATTGGCAAAAATATATCTAACACAGCGAATTGGAAAAACAAAATCAAACCTTGACCCCCAGCCGGGGCCACGCCTTTTATAAATGACTCAAACCTTTAATAAGATGTCAACAATACAAAATTGGGAACACTCAGATGAAACCCCAAGGAGGAGTTTGTTCAAATACAGAGCCTGTAAATCTATAGGCATTATTTTGAAAACCAAATCAAAATTGCAGACTTCCTGTTGGGTTTACAGTTTGGGTCAAAAATATTTTTTTTTTAGGTGTAGTCATGATGAATATGCTTTCTTCAATTCTCAAGTCTAGGATGAATGTGCTGTGGGGCTGAATGTTTTCAGTCTTGTAGGGGGCGCCACTGAGCCATTAATAATAGAGACGCAGCAGCTAGCACAAATGTAATTAAAAAGGAATCAGTGAGCACAATACTTTTCCTTGAATGTGATAATCTCTGCAGGCTGTAAAAGAAAGCAGGTTTAAAGATGGAATTAGAGAAAAACATTCTGCTCAAACTCTTTTCTGAACTTTTGAAAGAAGCTTTCAGACTTATTCAACAGCATGTTGAGTTTAAATGAGTGATCTTCTCTCAGCATAATCTGAAATACTTGATGTGGTTTAAGTACTTCTGAGTATAATGACGCAGGTGTGGGGAAAAAAACAAATTGACCTTAATACTGTAGCAACGTACACCTGGAACTGGATATTCAACACTTTGGCAAACACAGACACTAATGTTTGCTCAGGTTGTTTGTCTTTTATTCAAGAACAAGACATCCAATAACTAATAGCCTATTTTGGATTAAAGGATTATTTGAAGTTTTATTTTTTTTATTTTACAGAGAACAAACACTTTTTCTATTGAAGCTCAAATGTGTTGTAGTTGAAAAATGTTTACCCTTTAATGTGCATTGTGTGAAATTCTCTAAGCTGTTGGGCTCTCTAGCCTCTTCATGAAAAAGCCTGCTTAAAACTGCAGAGCAACTGTTGTCACGTTTATTTACTGTGTGTCCAAAGTTTATCCCCCTTATCTATAAACAGAATCACTTACTGTCTGACAACATCAGATAGCCCCGCTCTGCCTCCTATATGTCCTGCTGACGAATACATGACCTAACAGGACCTGTTCTAAAAGCCATAAACCCTCTGTTTTTCTGAATATAGGGTCAGGCTCAATGACAGACAGACAGACAGTAGGCCTGCTCAATATGCAATGTTAGGTAAAATTGTTCAATTATGATAGGAAGCATAGTAAATAAAAAAGGATTTAAGTTATAGCTCACTTTTATTTCTATCTGCTGTTCTTCAATTTGCTACCATATGTCCCTCCTGAATCCAGAGCAAATCAAGAATGTATTTATTGTTGCCACTAAATTGACAAAACTAAATCTGAGGCTAGCTGATAGCTTTCTTAAGCTTTATCTGACTGCACCAAAATGGTGTGAAAGCATAGCTTTTATGCCCGCAGGCCTCCATGAAATGAGTCAGTGAACCAGTTTGGCCACCCCAGTCAAAAAAAAAGTCTGGCTCCCCCCACTGCTTTTATGATGTGTTTATTGCAAATGCTTATATTGCAATAACAATGAAATGATAATTGTGCAGCCCTAACAGACAGCAAATGCCTTTAAATGACATTTTGCATTATGCATCAGTCTCTCATAAACAGGATGCATGAATTCATCATTTACATCTGCTAACCCTGTTGAAGTCTCAATCAACAAATACACAAAATGTTTAGCTCACTAAAAACCTGACTAATTGCAGCTCTTGTTTAATTGATTTGGTTCTTTTTTGGTGAAATTGTCTATTTGTTAAACTCCAGATGGCTGAGGCAGAATCAACATCCTGGTTCTTCTTGGAGACGTCCTTCTCCTGCTCTCGGCTCCTCTATGAGGCCTAGTGAGGTCTGGGAGTCTACCAGACCAAACTGACCAATCATCGCACCTGTCACAGGTAACACATGAGTGAAAACACATGAAAAGGAGGCCGAATAAGAAATAAAACACTTATCACGCATTCATTGACTAAGGGAAGACATATTAGAAAGACTGAAACAAACTACACCCTTTAAAATTAGAATGTCTTTCTAAACAGTTTCAGTTAAGTTATGGGTAAAACACTTTTGAAAGTTTATCCAGAAATAATTCTGACATCACACATTTGTTTCATGGATTACTTTTATCAAGCTTCCAGTTAGGCTTTGTGGCTGTAGTGACCATACTTTAAAAAGAGGGTTCAAGAGAGGAGGGAGGGGTTAACAAAGGCAAAGATATTAAAGCTATACAGTCAGTAGCCAAGGCTATGTCATTAACTAGCTAAATAAATGGCTAAAAATGGTTTCAACAGAATGTGATTACAATTCAGTTCATTGGGGGGGAGCTAACACCAATCCTGACTCAATGCATTGGCTGCCACAAATACATCAATGACAAGCCAGGTATTGTGAACACAGAAACAGATACCTGCTAATTAGTTACACATACATACAATAATACTAGAATTTGACTGATTGTAAAAACTGTATCTCAGACTTCTTGGACAGTCTGTTGGTACAATAAACCGCACAACAAGACAAATAATGTCTTTGATATTTACATGAAAAAATGTCTGAGCGGCTGCAACAACAACAAACACAGCCCAGAGGTTCAGTTCAGTGACTGATTAGCTTGTATGATGCCTGCCAGACTAACTTTGAGCCTTATTAATAATTAATGTAATTTTAACAGATGAGTTATACAAAAATGTATCTTGTATATTTATCATGAATAGATAAATGAGCTATAGTTAGCAAAATTTTTTTTTTGTGCCAGGCTGTAAACATGTTTATTTCTGCTGTAAAGTTGGACATTTTACAATGAGGCTCTATTGGGATTGACGCACTTTGGGAAACAGCCTCTAGTGGACACTCAAGGAACTTCACTTTCTGGCACTTCTAGTTTTGTTAAACTAATTTTCAAAACTAAAAGTTGCCACTTGGTCTTTGATTGGAAAAAGACCCCCCTAAATGTTTTACAATTATACGATTCTACAATTCACTTAGCAGACGCATTTATCCAAAGCGACATACATCAGAGTTTTGGTTTTAATAGTTGCTACTAGCACCAAAGGTACAATCATCACCATGAGGTACAACTGAGACAGCCGTTTGGTTAACAAATTACCTGCCAAACAACCCCTCAGTACACATTTTCATTCATCTGTTTATGGCAACATTCTCTTCTCAACCTTCAGTGAAGCCAAGTGAACATTTCTAATTTTCATCTCTGTATCATCAACCTGATGTTGTCAAGTCTGTGTGCATATTCAATAAACAATGTTGTCATTGTTTATTGGATATGCACTGCTGCCAGTAAACTAGTGTCATGTGCACGGCTAAATTGGAAATGTGTGATTCCCATCTGATGAAGAGAAGGAGGAGGGGATGAGGAGGAATGTTCACGACCCATTTCTGCAGGATTAGAGATTTAAAAAAAAATGCAGCCTGTCTGAGCTCTGAAACTGGGAAAAAAGAAGGAAATCAAGCTTTCTCGTGCACGTCTTTAATAGATTCTTGAAGTCCTAATCTTGCTAAAGGCCTCAGGGTTCAACTAGCTGTCTTAATGCTTCTAAATGTCTCTTTATATCCCCGCTAAGTTGTAAGTTGAGGTTTTGATTCTGCATTATTAGGCCTATGTCTTTACTAGTGATTTTCTTTACCTGTGGTCCCTCTGTAGGTGCAGAGGGAGTGGCTAATATGCCTGTGTTCCGAAGAAAAGTGAGCGTGCTCTGTGTGACGATAACCCTCAATGTCTTCCTATGCCTCCTGGTTGTCCTCTCGTGGAACCCCAAGCGTGACAGAAGTGAGAAGATCCGTATCCCATCAAAGAAGTTTTGGCGCCAGCAGGTTCTGAGCAAATCCTTCTGGAACCGGGAGCAGCAGCGCCTGGACTTTTTTTACAACCCCGTCCTGAACTCTGTGCTTTCTGGAGGTGACTCTCTTGTCGAGCTGCCTGATTGGCTAAATGATACAGGGCCACTCGATCCTTGTGAGCCAGATCCCAGAGTCCCCGCGCAAATCTCGGACTACAACTCCCTGCCGCAGCGCTTCCAGGATTTTCTATTGCACATGCGCTGCAGGACATACCCCATGCTGATTAATCAACCACATTTGTGCGATGAGAAACCCTTCCTGCTTCTCGTTGTGAAGTCTCTGATCCCGCACTTTGACCGACGGCAGGCGATCAGAGAAACATGGGGCCGGGCGGGCGTCGTAGCCAACCAGACTGTGGCTACCATCTTCCTGCTAGGCAACACTTTATCTTCTGACAACTTCCCAGACCTCCTTGGGATGCTGAACCATGAGGCAGCTCTCCACAAAGACCTCCTCCAGTGGGACTACAGAGACACCTTCTTCAACCTCACAGTAAAGGAGGTCCTCTTCCTGGAGTGGTTCAGTCAAAACTGTCCCCATGCCCAGTTCATCCTCAAGGGGGACGATGACGTATTTGTGAACACATTACGGATTATTGAGCTCCTGCAGAACATTTCACAGAGCAGAGCTAAGGATCTTTTCATTGGGGATGTAATCAGTAACGCAGGTCCACATAGGAACCGGAAATTAAAGTATTTTATACCAGAGAGCGTGTTTGCGGGGCAATATCCGCCCTACGCAGGAGGAGGAGGTTATCTATACACCGGAGAGTTAGCGCTTCAGCTTTACAATGTGTCTCAGCAGGTCGTATTATATCCCATAGATGATGTCTACACTGGGATGTGTCTGAAGAAGCTTGGTTTGGTTCCTGAGAAGCACTCAGGCTTCAGGACGTTTGGCATTGAGAAGAAGTACAGAGACAACCCGTGCGCGTACCGGAGCCTGATGCTGGTTCACAGCCTGACGCCTCAGGAGATGCTGAGGATATGGCATTGGATTATCCATCCTGAGCTGCACTGCCAGTGAACACCTGAATTCACATTTTATATAGGTCAAATATAGGGCTTTTCCTGACTCCAAATACATTTTGATGCAAACCAGATTTAGCTGTCAATCAACAAAAGATTAATGTTTTTTCTATAGACTTCCAATATCCAGATTGTACTGCCCTTTCTGCACGTTCCAACGTACAGGATTTGACAGCCAGATAACACTCAAACAAAAGTCCTCCAATAAAAACACAAGGCTTGTCTTTTCTTGATTTTACTTGAGTTCCTTTCGTTCTGTTTTTTGTAAAACTGCAATATTACAAAGAGAATAACAATATTTCAGTACAGATAACAAGTATACATTTACTTGTGATAAGCATTGCTATCTAAATTCAAGCAAGCACAGAAATGCATAAAAATGCTAATTCAACACAAAGCTACATGCTATCATAAACATGAGGAAAAGAGTTAGCTACTACATTTAGCATTAGCTAATAAGAGCACATGTAAAACAAAAACAACTTAAAAGTTTCTGACCTTAAAAACCTGCAAACTGTGTCACTGAACAGGATGACGGATTTGAGTCATTGGAGGTCAGGTTAAAAGAAAAGAGGTTTAGTGTGAGCTTGTCTTCCAGACTCACCTGCCAAAGACTGTAGAAGAAACACAGATTGTAAACAGGAAACTGCTTTATTCAGTGTTTTTTTCCTCTTTTGATTCACTGGTTAAAAAGTACATTATGAACACTGGAGGATATTCTGAGATTTGCTTTGTAAAGTTTAAAGTCTGTCCTGCATTTGACTTAATATTTTGACCTCCAAGTGTTAGTATTTTAAAGTAATTAAATGACTTTATAAACTATTTTTTTTATTTTTTCTCTTCCTCTTTCTGTATTATATTTATGGAATAGAAAACATTAGATGAATACGAGCTCTGAAACCGGAGTTTTAAAGGGTTGTTGAGGTCATCCTGCGCCCTATATCTGCACATTTTGTTGTAATACTGACTAATATGTGCTGACATTTAAGAAGTGTTAGCTTTTTGAAACCAATAACAACAGTTACATGGCTCTTTTAATAGCCAATAGCATACATTGATAAAAATGGGAATTGCACTGACTGGGTAGTGTGTTGTGTTATGGTGTGACACTAATATTGTGTTTAACAGAACTTACCATTTAAAAAATGCCGGTCCACAAAAACACAAAAAAATGTCACCATTTGAAGCAGCTGTTTACAAACAACACCAATGTTCGGATGTAAATTAACACTTTTTTTCTTAAATAGAGTTTGTTGGCTCTAAAGAGAGTTCAGTTAAAGTTGTTTCTGGTTTAAAAAACAAAAAGGTCAAGCTATATGCAGGGATCCTTTCTGTTATGTTCATATAAACTTTTAATAAAAGTCTAACCTTGTTTTTGCACTTTGCACTTTGATAAGCATTTAATCACATGTGGTGTAGTGGTGCCTAATACTCTTAACTTACCACCGATTGTTTTATTTTTTTCAGCCCGTCCAGCAAAGGATAAACCCACTGTGCTACAAACCGTACAAACCTTTAGGGAGTAAGGATCAATATGAAATTGACATCCATCACAGAAGAGGTGTAGATTTGCAGAGATTTTGCAACAGTACTGGCCCAAAGTAAGGGTGAGACAGCTACACAAGAATGCTCTTAATTCTTATCAGCATCGGATATAACGAGTAACATGACACATCAGTTTTGCAATCTGTTACTCTTCAAATGTATTCACTGTTCATTTTATTGTCACAAGAAACAAACAACAAAGAAATGACATTCCTGACACATTTGCACTTTTTCATTTTGAATCCTCCGGTTGTGTCAGTGAGTTTGTGAGTTTTACATTCCACCTGAGCTGCTCAGCTAACCAGATAGCAGGAAGCATTTGTAGTATTCGTATTGATGTGATATAAGCTATAGCCCGTTACTACTGTCATACAGGCAGCTGTGCCCTAATCTGCCTTTTCCCATTTAAATGTCACAAATGTGCAGCCTTTTAGCTAGACAGAGAGACTCAGCAAGAGTTGGGCCTCTTAACTCCATTGCTCACTTGTCTTGAACTTAGGGCCGCTTTTCAAACACACAACAAGCACAAAGTTTGTTTTTTTAAACAGTAAATCATCATAATGAGGAAGGAAAGCTATTTTAAAGTGGTGCTGCCAGCTTGATTTATTCTCCTCACTCTGCCTGTGATTGGCTTACCCTGATATAAAGGGGTGAATAACTTTACCTATAGCTAACGGAAGCTCACCACTCATTAGTTAACTAGTCTACTCTTTCCTAGTACTGGAGCTATATAAAATTACTCCGCTAACACCCTTTTGAGAAGGGAAGACTTATATAAACGCTTAGCCCTAGGATTAACTGTCTTACATTAATTTCTAGAATTATTAGATTCAAGTATAATCCTTGATTTAGTGTGAGGTGTGAAGTTAAAGTCAGTAGATGTGTGTCGTGGTGTGCCTGCTTATACTTACCTCCCGAGGTCCACACGGCGTCCTTAAGAGAGGCTCGAGCCCTTGTGGTGTGGGTGGCTTTTTTCAGAGAAAAATTGCCTACTTAAGTGGACAACTAACCTCTATAAAAGAGTCAGTCGAAAATCTTTTCAAAAGGATTCAGAAAATGTATTGAAAAAACTTCAAAAGGTAAAAATCTGACAAAGTCTTTTTAAAATTCAAATCAGTAAATGTAAAAATATAGAAATGTAAAATCAAAAGTTTAAACCCGAGTGTGTGGACACTTGAGGTTTTTCAAAGGTTTTGGTCTCAGAGACTAAGTCCCAAAAAGTCAGAATGAGGTGAAGCCTTTAGCAAGAGCAACAAAAAAAAAATGAATTTCCCCTCGCGGGATCAATAAAGTATAAATTATTAATATTATTAAAGCCTGCTGATCAGCTTCTCCGCATTCTTTTTATAGCCAAACTGTGTCTTTGTTCGGGACCTTGAAAAACCTCAGCAATGCCGATTCACAGAAGCGTTATACACTCACAGGTGATCACAAAATCATTTGTGGGTTTTGCTCAAGTTATGGTGCACTCTCCCTGACCTCACAGGTGCACAGGCCTTATCAAATATAGGGTTATATCACTACAGGTACAGGGTTATATAATGAATGCATGCATGATTAATGGTATATGTAAAAGCAATGAAAGCAGTTATGATTACATGATATATGGATTAATAATAAATGGATTAAAGGGTAATAAAAGAAAAAAACACAAATATAGTTAAAACTAATTCAGCAATTGCATAATTAGTGTGAATGCTGAAAGCATTCACACTATTGTTATTCTACTGCAAAAAAAAATTATTATTCTACTTCCGTGCGTTTTTTGGACCGCTTCTCCTCGAGAGCGTTTGTGCTACGTCCACCATTCAAGTATCAAACTATCCGGCTTCTTCGGGACATGATGGCTATGACTTTTGTAGTTTCTACTACTTTTATTTACTACTACTAAGTTATTTAAGTTTTTGTCCAAAATTTGGCCCCATTGAAATGAATGGGGAAATTTTCAACTTTTTCACGTTTTTACACTTTTTACATAACTCTGGCTGTGTTCTGCCTAGAGACTCCATTTTTGCTTTAAAATGTTCACACACTTGTCCTCTATTCATATCACTTTCACTTGTCTTGCTACCTTTTATACTTTTCAAACTGTACCTCCAACTGTTGGGTGAAGTTTTGAACTTTTCTCACATTTTAGAGTGAGTGACATCATCAGTAGAGTGCGACAAAGTTCTGAAATAGTTTCAAAATCTCCCGAACAAATTGCTCTCCTGACCACAATCTTCGCCCCACACACATAAATTTACCCTCAAAATGTAGGAAAACTTGTCCTCTCTGACATATTGAGTTCTCAGGACATTTGGAGAAAGCTTTTTCCACTGTGAGCTTCAAAGCGGCAGGCGGTCCAGAGAAATCTCCATCTGGGCTAATGTTAAACTTAGGCCTGACTCCACTGACCACACCTCTTGGGACTAACTTTTCAAATCGCTGTGGTTTCCACATTTCTTGGACCCCAGACATGAAAATCACATCGACGCGTTCGGCCATTTGTCCTCTTGCTCACAAAATCATCGTTTAGCCCCCAACTCTTAATTTAAGCCCTTGAAATGAGCACCCAATAGGGAGACATGTTCCCCTTTTTTCTCATTGTCTCCCTCTGTGTGATTGCCCTGATTGTCCTCACCTGTGGCTCGTTAGTCTCAGCTGTGTCTCATTCCCCTGTGTATTTTTAGTCTCTGTGTTTCTTCCCTACTTTTACTCCTAATCTTCTACTTCTCCTACTTTTTCTTCATCATCTTCTGCTGATTCTTCTTCATTCAGCAGTGTTTTGCAAAACATTTCAGCCGTCAGCATTCACACGCATTTTCCGCAGGTAAATGCAATTTCTAGTTCTTTCTGATCTTTCAACAATGCGCATCAGACTTAGAGGTTGGTACAAATGGAGACTGAGTGATAATAATTGGATATACTGTATGCTGTATTCTTGTGTATTCTTCCACAACACCACATGAAGCAGTACCTTCAATTTCAATTCATTTGAAGTTTACAATGCTGTACTCTCCTTTTATATCCACCAGCTGAAAACACAGATATTAGGATAACCTCTTATCTAAATTAATACTCTTACTGTGTAAACAGACATCCAGCTCCCGATGATCCAACAGTTTCTGTGCAGAGCGTCAGAACACAGGAGTGGATTTTCTCCTTTAAAAAATTGCATTAAACTAACTGTTCATGAGTTGTCTTTGTTTTCTTTTGTTTTTTCTTTTTTAAGCTAAGTTGTGGCTGAAACCGGGCAGTTATCAGGTTTCTTTTGTATGTGTGTGGGCATATTATATATGTATATTTAAATGAGCTTTCATTTGAGCATGGCTCACATGAAACAGATTCAGGTTCTTTCGGTTCTTTTGCTCAGCATAAAAAAAAATACTTTTTTTGGTTTTCATAAATTAAGTTTTGATAAAAATTAACTAAGTTATATTCTAGGGTTGCTTCTTATGTTATTAATGGCACTTAAATGAGAAATAATTTTTTATTATGCAACATCCATCAGATTTTCATTATAAACAGACCTTTTCTAGATTAACAGAGATGTTGATGTAGATGTGTAGAAATGACCTGTTGTTGATATTCTTTGTCTCATTTGTTCTTTTTTACAACAATATTCAATACAGGTAAAAAGTTAAATGTGGGGTTTAAGCTAAACAATGTACTATTAAAATATTGTAAACTTAATTAAGATGGTTAAATGAAGAGACAAAATTTAAGATACAACAGTGACCTCTGATGGACAAACCTGATACTTACAGCCAGTGAAAAGAAACTCAATCAGTTCATTAATGAAGTTCAGCTGCTCACACAGAAAACGAAAACACAGTTTATGTGAAGCTGTGAGGATTAACTGGACTTAAGGTCTTTAACACAATTATAATACTTAAAAACACAACGTTTTGGCAGTAAAATGCAACAAAGGAAAAACTATGGCTTTAAAATTCAGCTGCTCATATTCCTGCTGATATTTTGGAAACACTGTAATTCCCAGGTAAGAATTTACAGAACAACAAAATGAGCCGGCTTTGCATTGATGATGTTGTTGAGTTATAAAAGTGGTTTGACAGTAATTCTGTGATTTCATTGTTGTGTTTGTAGATGCACAGTGAAGAAGACAACACGTCTCCAGGTGAGCGTCATGCCTTGTCTTATTTAAATGTGAACGTGACTCCTCTTGTCTCTTTGACAGTCAGGGTCAGGATGATAGAACCTAAATGACAAGTTTAGGACAGATGAGGCTGATTTTGAATATCCAGGGAACATATTCACTATACTGAGCTTTATTGTAAAAATATTACAAGCATTCATTCAAACCACTTACATGTTGAAATCAAGTGAATCTGTGCTTTGACTTATATGGTTAACATGAGTAGATGTTCAATGTTTCCCCTGGTTAACGTTTAAAAGTTATGCATTAAATTCCCTTTCTGTTGATTCTAGTTAGATTCCAGACCAATGCATAAGTGCCTTAAACATGCATACTTTATAGTGGACAGCAGGGGGCGACCTACCTGTTCCAGTCTAAATAAACAAGATATAATTAGCAACAACAACAAAAAAATCAATGTGTGGTTTTAAAATCATAGTTAGTCATGTGGTTATTCTTGTTATAGTCTGTGGTGTGTTTTTTCTTTTTTAAATAATGTTGAGCAAAATTGGATGGGGTGTTTTTTTTTTTTAACCCAGTGTAAAATGTTGCTCTTTCCTTCGAAATTGTCCATGATTATTTCTAGTTTTTTTTTTTTAAACCCATCCCTGCATGTGTTTTTTTTTTTTTTCTGTACTGTGCTGAAATGAAACTGACTGACTGGAGAGTTGTAAAGTAACACAAATGTT